AAATGTTCTGTTTTCAATTTCATCATCGACTGATTCATCTTATCTTTCAATTTATGGCGACACAGTAATTAGATTATTTTTTCTATCAATATCAATATATTTTAATTTACTAATCGTAATAATTACATAATATCACAATTACAACGTGAAAATATAGATAATATAATAAGCTATATTATCAAAGTAATGTGTTCATATTATAAAAATCAATTTATATATCAATACTATTAATTTAGTACGAAATAAGGAAAGTAACAATAAAGAGTGAGCAAATGGTATTTACATTAAAAACATATTTTATTTGACAACCGCTACTTCTCAACACAAGCTATAGCGTCGCGAATAAATCAACGCGATTAAGTATCTATTTCCGTTGCGTATATTTCGTAAGTACACATTTATCTCGATATAATCATTTTAACAATACATATTGGCTCTAACGAGCAGCGATAAAACATATCATTTTTATCTTGGCCTATTTTAACAATAGCAAAGTACTTAAGATAATTTCATTCTTAGTAATAATTAAGTATATTCATTAATATGTATTCCGGAGCATCCAATAATTCCGTTGCATTGCTATACATTGACAAGTTTAATGATCCAATTCCTTGTGGAATAATTTTGAGATGATTGTTCAATAACAATAATGACAAATTTTTGATTCGAGATTATCATTCGTAATTAAATTTTTTATTCTTTATTTACAACATAACTTTAATATTTCGTAAAACGCACACATTGCATATATACATACATTATATTATTAATTATTAAATTATTAATCATATTGCTTGAATAAATAGGAAATAAAACTTGAAGGCATAAAAATGTTTTGAGAAACAAGTCAGAATGCTCGGAGAATAATAGTCAAATAGCAAACCTTAATTTTCGTATTCTAACTAAACGTATTCTAACTAAACGTATTTTGAAGAATTAAGTCGCAAGTTTGCTTTAGTGTTCGTTTGAATCGCAGTGAAAAAAGACATTATCATCACGCCGAGTTGTTTTCAAAATTTTAAAATTATGCGGTTATGCCATAAACGTCTACGTGTTCTTAAAATACAATTTGCTGTGCTCCGTACGGAAGATTCTCCCATGCGCGGAGCCAATACATAATAATTCTCGTTTTCTACGATAAATAACAATAATACTTTCTCGAGAGTGTCGCTCTTGAATACTAACGAGGGGAACAGGGGGAGACGAGGTTAGAAGAGGACTGGGTCAAAAGGGACCCTGGCTTGAATCGATAAATATAAATAAGCCGAAGGTAGAATGACACGCGATTAGCAAACTAAGTAATAACTACAGAAATTATGCGCGTCGAATATTAATTACTTTTATCAGAAGAAACTGTGTGTGCTTTAGAATTTATTTTATATATTATATAGCATATTTAATATATAAAATAATCACATTAAATTTTAGAGATCTATAGTAATGACTGAACAGTTTCAACGCTATTCTAACGTTCGACTTATTCTTTCACCATTCACGTGCTTAAGTAACGTCATTAGAAGTCATCGAATCGTGGATACCATGACAGGCTAAATGCATTGGTTCAGAATTCGCTCAATCGACGATGTGGATCGAATCGGGCGCCGCTCGCTCTATATATAGAATTCTATATATAGAATTGTGTGATTCTTATGACACGATCAATATCAAATATCTAATCTGGATATCACAAGTACCGGGTGGAAGGAGAGCTTAAGAAGATCGAGATTACAAGACCATCCGGCAGCCTAAATCGTGGGACCATGCCTGTCCAAATTCTGACTCCTTCCCTTTCAACAACGACCGTCGTTCCGACGCCCTAAATGCGTCCGCGGGAAACGAAGATTGTGCCTGTGTACGTTTTTTTCAGTAATACTTTGAATCAATTAATCGTTCGCTCAGTCTCAAGGTACAATCAAGATATTTCAGGTACCATTTGTCCGGTCTTTCGAGTACCTTAGTCCTCAGGACGGTAGAATTTCTAATTCAAGTACACTCTGAGCGGTGTTGGGCGCCGCTGGATCATCGCTCTTGTGCACCAGGATGTTTCGGAAATCCTTCAGCTTCTGCGGCTGCAGGGTCGCATTGGGATTTCGCGGAAGCGTGGCGATGGGATTGGTGTTGCGATTCGTGTAAGGCTTCTCGTAACGATTGATACCGTTCTCCGATTCCGAGTTGTGTCGTCGCTTCACCGTGGACTCCGCGTTCGACTTGGCCGCCTTCGGCGACAGATCCTTGTCTTCGAAGCACGGCACCGTTTGCATCGACACCGTGTTCCGGCAATCGTCGAAGAGTGATCTGGGATTGAGCGTGACCTCGCGAGCGGAGCCGAAGTGCCTGAAACTGGCGTAGACAGGCGAGTTGTTCATGAAGCTGGTGTCGGCGGGCATACAGGACTCGGTGATCCGTTTCTCGATCTTGATCTCGGTAACATTCTGCCGGATCATTAGATCCGGCACCGCTTCCGGCAGCGGCTCCTGAGAGATCGGCGGCCACTTGAGATCGCGCGCCATGTCGCGCTCGATCGCCAGGAATTTCCGTCGCGATTTGTCCACGTTGTGCCAGCGGTAGCGCAGTTTGCCGAACACGAGATATTCCACGAAGAGATACTCGACCAACAACGCGATTACGAAGTTCACGATGCCGTAACCGACTAGGATGAAGCGAAAGTCCAGATTGTCGGGCAACACGAGCTCGAAGCATTTAGCCAGCCAGTCGAAGGGACACACCGCAAGATAAATAGAGAATAGACTGAGAAATACGAAAGAGGTGAGTAAGCCGTAATTAGTGAAGAGTGATTTTCTGTATGGCGGCCCTTTCGAGAACACCACCGCCAGAATAATGTATTGCATGGAACTGACGATGAAGACGGCGTAATTTTCCATACAGCCTACGTCATCTTTGTCTGAGGTTTCGGTCGCGTTGAACGGCACGAACCAGGACATTTGCCGCAGATGCCAGAGACTCGTGTACTGAAAGGTCGCAACGATCAGAAGCTGAGTGATGAGACTAACTATCGGCGACGTGCTGATAAGGCTGCTGAGCGGTGCCATTTTCACCAATGGGCCGTCGTAAGCCTCGGTGTGACCGAAGAACAAGGCGAATATGGAAATGATGAAGAGATCGATATACAGAAATTCGATGTCCGTTAAGTTGGACTCGATGCTGTAGAGGAGCATCACCGAGATAAATTGCGTGAGCGAGTAGGCGGCCATGTATTTGAAGATACCGAAGGACGTTACTAGAGCAGCACGACCTTCGCGTATCACCGTGAGAACGCAGGAGATGTTGGTTTCGCGGCTGGTGAACGGCGAAGCGACGGAGGATTCCGTGTCCGACAAGGAGATTCCGGTGTGCGCCGCTTTCAACGCACCGCAATCGTTAGCACCGTCTCCCACCATGGCTGCGAAGAAAAGAGTCTCCCATAAGTCTTATCGTAATCGACAATTGTCGCAATTGCAGTTATAAACATACTGTACTTAAAAGATTTTGCTATCACAACGAAATTGTCATTGCTATTCCACATTTGATGACAAAATTTTGCCACCATAATTAATGTTTTAGATCACTCAGTGTATCTCAGCAAAATCTGTTTTCTTGGCAGAATACATAAATTTTGCTGAGTACATTTATTTGTAAAGATATTAATTTACAACATAATATATATTATTTCCAACAAATGCATTTTGCTATTGCAGCGAAATTGTCACTGCTAATGCAAATTTTGATGACAAAATAAAAATTAATTGAATGCTGATTCAGTGAATCAATTGAAACAACTTTGTTATATTAAACTTTTTGAATGCAAAGCGCTCTTGAGCTAAGCGCTTAATACAGGCGATACGCAATCCACACTGACAATTGCTGAGGACGTATAATTTTTGTTATTTTAAAAAATTTTTATTTATTCATACTAATAATTTTTATTTGTGTCGAGAATATAAATCGAAAAAATTTGTCAAACACACATATGTGCCTACATAATTTATATCGATACATTCGCTGAACACATAGCACTCAAAGAGTTAACGACATAGTTTGCTATGTAATAACTAATATATTTTACAACAACGGCGTAAAATTTGTTGTGCTAACAAGTTCTTTTTTTCCTGTGTAATTTTATACTGTATTTTTATGTGTTTGCACTTACCGACATAATATCCTAAGGATTGCAATTCTTGAACCAATTGTTGCTTCTGATCAGGTGACATTCTGGCGAAAATAGCACCGCGTGTAACCATCTTAGGTATCAATTCCGGATAGTACTGCTTTATCAGCGCCCATGTCTTCCCCGTCAACGCAAAAACGTATTTGTTTTTGGAGTATTGTACACTGCAATTATTAGATAAATCGTAAGATACATTATCTGCATTCCAACAAAATCTCGTCGCAATTTTGAGAAAAAGTGATTACTTACTCATCCGATAAATAATTAATATCGTTCTCCAGCTTCGTGTTGCTGAACGAGCCGCTCTCGACGGTTTCCACGTCCAAGCTGACCACGCTATTTAGATCGGTCATTTCACTGAGGTCAGCCTGACCGTTCGGCGAAGCCGGTGACGGCTGACTGTCGCTCTTCGTGAAGTACATCTGCGGTTTCAGTTGATTATGCTGCGTCGTCGAGACAGCGATCACCGGCGTGCCGGGCTTCACGATGTCGCAATCTCTGGCCACCGAGAGAGCGGTTAGCATATTATCGCCCGTCACCATCACCGTCTTGATGCAAGCGGTGTTCAGCTCGGCGATCACCGGCGAGGTCTCGTGCTTCAGTCGATTTTCCATAACTATGAGCGCCAAAAGTTTAGATCGATCTCGGCGGACTCGCGACTTATCCGCTGCACCTTCGCGTACGGAAGACGGTTCAGGGATTTGTGCGCAAGAGCGATCACTCGATAACCCTCGGACGTGTATTCCTGTAGAATGGCCGCGAAATCTGGAGGAACTGCGAGCGAAAAAAAAAAACAAATTTGTATAAAATTAAACGATAAATAATTACTGCAAAATTATAACGCGTGGAGAAAAATGCGAAGACTTACTGGATTCTGCTTTCGAGAGACTGAGGATCATCTCCGGACTGCCTTTGCAATACAGATCGTAGTGATTGGCGCCCAGCGTCCTGGTGATTACACTCATCCTCTGGAGACTCGATGTGAAAGGAAATTGCCGAACAATACCCACTTCCAGTCCCTGCTCCAATTCCGTCGTGGAATCGCCGTACGCGGCGTCGTGAAGATTATTAAGCGATATTCCGTCGATCACGTCGGAAGACACAGAGTTTTGCCGACTGAGCGTACCACACAGGTCGTTGGGCAGTCTCTTGAGCAGCTTGGAGTCCTTCGCCGGCCTGACGATCGTCGGGAAGAGCATGGAGAACTTTGACGTGTCGGATACGTCGGGTTCTTCTAACGACCATCTCGTCGATTCAAACATCTTCAAATCGAGCGGATCTCCCACTAATTGGTTATCGATTATCGTGATTCCGTGGCACGTAACCATGCCAATTAGAACCTCCGACAGTGCTAGACTACTGATATCCTTGACCGGTAACTGAAATTTTCTGTCCGAAACAGCTACCACGCCCCACATGTCGAGACCGTCTTCGGTCAGCGTTCCAGTCTTGTCGAAGCAAATGCAATCGACGGACCCCGAGACGTTAATGGTCCTCGGGCTCGTGCAGTAAATTTTCTTTCTCTCCAATCTACGTTGCGCCACGAGACGACCCACAGTCATAGCTGCCGGCAATGCCGGCGGCACCACGATAGTGATAAGATCTAACGCTTCGAGAGCAATATCTCTAACCTCGACCCCTCTCATCGCTTTCGTTATAATTGTATAGATAACCCCGGTGATTGCTATGCACGCTAAAAGTATAACAAATTTGTACGAATCCTGCTCAAACTTGAAATCTACCGGTGGAGGATACATGATGGATCGCACCAAGCCGCCTTTGCTGGTGTTGAAACCCGTTCGAATGACCACCGCCAACACCTAACACAGTACAGTACGACATTTACGTTTAAAATGTTAGAAGATTCAGAATACAAGAAAGTAAAACAACAAATTTTAATTAAATAAAAATCTAAAAATCTAAAACATAAAATATAAAGCTCAGAATAAGAATGCGAAAAGTAAAATACAAGAGTACATGAAATAATAATGTAAATAAAAATACACAAAGTATGAATTAGCAAAAATAAAAGAATTAAAGTTTTTGAAATTAATAAAGAGTAAAGATAGCTCGCCTTTTCACTGCCGTAGTATCTTGTCTGAATAACTCTGGTACCGCAAAAGAGCGTGTGTCTGGCGTGTTCTTTGGTATCATATATCACATCGTTAGAGGAAGGAACTGGTGTCTTTGTGACAGGTACAGATTCTCCCGTCAGCATGGACTCGTTGAGGATACAGTTGCCGGTCAACAATACGGCGTCGCACGGCATCACGCATCCGTGAGACGGGATGACTAAAAGATCGCCAGGTACCAAGCGATCGGCGGGCACCGTCGCGGTTTGACCGGTCGTACGATCTCGCATGACCGTGGCGACGTCGGATGAGTGCACCGTCGAACGCAGATTCTGTTGATTCTGCGAAGAGAAATATCGGATTAATAACGCAGCACGATCATGATTGATCACGGGGCGAATGGAGCAGGCCAGAAAAAGGCGAGCAAGAACTTCGCGAGGAATGACTCACCTGTCGCGTCTGGAAGACTGCCATCATGATGCCGGCGGCCGACATTGTGATGATGACCATGGCGTAGTAATAATAGTCGTCAGCAATCCATAGACCGAAACTGAACAGTTGGAAGACGTAGAACGGATTGAGCACTTCAAGGCAGAGCAGCGTGAATATGCATTTCACAGGAACCACAATCTCGTTGTTGCCGTACACATTGCGCCTGTAAATAGTTCGATTAATCGTACTGTTAATTGCTACGATCGACGCATCGTGGTGACGCGGGATTCCTGTTAAAAAAAAAAAAAACTGGACTTCGACCTTTACCTAATGTATTGCTCCTGAGAATCAAGACCTTGCGCTTGATGCAACGTAGACGTCAAAATGTCGGTGTCGAGACCGCGCAGTTTCAGAAATTCCGATCTCTCCGCGTCCCAGACGTAAATCAGTTTCTTGCAGTTGAAAATGGTTATAGATGATACCTCTAAAAATAGATCCTCGTGTTTGACGCTGTTCTATGCCTGAGACACGCGCGTCGTAAATAGCATGCCGATGATTTACTTACGTTTAAACTGACCGCCGTAAAGGTGCATGGATAACATCGGACAGTTCTCTTTCTCGTCCTTCGTGGTTATCACACTGCCGTCCCACGACTCGTCGATTAGAGATTCTTCATTGTAAGACTTATTGCTGTAACAGAAAAAGAAAAACAGTCATTGTCAGTGTCGATTATGTTGACGTTGACGTTGCATGCTGCAAGATTGCTTACACAACTTCCTGAGCGGTTAAGACTCGCAATTTCTTCACGTAATAGCTCGTGTGTTTCCCTTGAAATCTCTCAACCAGCAAGACAGCTTCCGCTTCTTCCAGGGAGCATTTGTAATGCGTGAACAGGAGCATGAGTTGCGGTACCCAATGAAAGACCAGTCTCAGAATACCGCCCGTGATGCCAATGAGCAACCAGGTAATAACCGTCCGTACGTGACTTTTTCTGTAGCTGTAACGATAATGAGAGGAGATTGAGAGCGGGCTGCACTCTTTGCGCGGGGTCTACGATTACACGTGACGTAATGCAATTAACTTACCCGTAAATTTCCATCTGGTCCTCCTCACCAGGATTGACATAATCCACGCCATTCTTCAAATGCAAAAGGCCGTTAGCCTTGGTGCCTGAAACGATGCCAATATTGTTACAACGAGCTGTCATTCGCGCAACGATCGCCGTACGAGACGGTCATTCACCAATCGCGGACTCTACTCGACTGGCTCGCTTTCTCTGCCTTTCGTAAGATCTGTTTGTCAAAGACGACAGTGTATAGCAGATGTTTGTGACGACGACGATGTCACTAGTGGACTTTATCGCTACAATCTCGTTAAATTACGTGGAACGTTAAATTACCCGAACGTAATTATTTAGTCGCTGGACAAGAAAAGATAATAGCGGTGAGATAATGAGTGAGGTGCAACGAGAGATTCATTTAATATCAGTGGATCGCGAGACCAGCTCGTAGGTGAAGAAAAGATGCGATAAATACGAGCTTTCTTCCTCGCTTCTTACCCTCCAATAATTCCGTCTTTTGCTCGCGCTGATGCTCGTTCGCGGTGGCCGTGCTGCGATTACCAAAGACGCTGTAAGCGTTTCTGGCAAAACTCAAATTCAGTCTGTTCGGCGTGGACGGCATACTCGCGATCGGGAGAATGCGGAGCAAGCCGAAACGCAGAAAAGAAAAATTGAAATCAAACCGATGAGAAGAAACGAACGAACAAAGTCTTCCTCGTGTTGCTACGTGCTTCCACGCCCGATTAATAAATCGTTTCCTCCTCCCTCTTTCTCTTTTATCGTCTTTGACTGGCGAGAGAATCGTCGGAATTTGCAAGGTATTCAATTTTCCTGCTCGACTGTCCCTCGACCTGCCTCTTACGCTATCTGCTGTCTTCACTACTACATATTACTTTAAGCACTAGCCTTAACATCTAATAAATTATTGTCCGCGTGGCCGCTCCTCGAGGCCGCTTCGGATCGCTCGATATGCGATAGAGTTTCGTCACTCGTCGTGACCAAAAATTCAGCCGGGAGACACGAGGGGGTGAAAAGAAAAGGAGGAGGATGCCGAAGACGGTCGGTGAGCTGCGAGGTACGACGAGGCGTGGTGCCGTTGAAACAACAATTGCGCTCTTAGGGACGTTAACCCCGTCTGCTACCGACACCGATTGCCCGCCATTTCGGGATCCCTCTTCAAGGTCCTCGCGGCGGATCTTGGCAGCGCGTTCTCCGGCATCTGGCCGGCATCGAGCTGGCACGGACGATGCGACGACGGCGACAACGACGACGATGACGTAGACGTAGTGCCACGGAGTTCGAAGGCCGTCTTGCGACTGTACCGGAACCACGGGCCGACGAAGATCGTCGAGAGAGCGGCAGGTGAAGGAGGATGCTGCTGACCAGCGTATAGCGGTGGCTGGTGCTATCGCTTCGGACCTGCCCTCGGCTTCCTGGATTCGTGTCAGTCGCCGGGATCGGTGAGCTTTCGCCAGCCGATTCGTGGCGTGATCGCCGCTCGTTCACCCTCGCTCATACCGCGTTTCACGCACACCAGGTCCGGGACGCCCCTGCCTGCGGAGCCGCTTTGTAGCGGCCGCGGTTGCGGCTGCGGTCGCGACTGCGATGCTGACGCTAAATCGCGATAACGGCACGCCGCCTTCCTCTTCGTCCCACCTTTGGCTCGCGAGGACGACGATTCGGGATCACTGCGACCGCACGCGGCCGCTGCAAAAGCTCCTACCGCCTCTCTTGTGTGCTCGTGCCTCCCTTGTGCTGCTCCTTGGCGCGATCGCAAATACATTACGGGTTATAGGAGTATCCGGGGTTGCCGTCGGGATGTCTCGATCGGCAGAAAAAATCGTCACAGCTCGCACGGACTTTTTTTTACACTCCGCGCACTCCGATGACGTGGGTTCTTCCTCGTCAGACGCGGGAGTCTCGGTCTTTTCCGAGAAAGATGAAATTGTCGATCGCACGCACGATTCAATTAACGCGAGCGAGAGTGTGCCGTTGTCCTCCCTCCGATCGAACCGATCGATACGAAGACGAGGTTGCGCGATGTTGTGGCAAATAGTACGTTCCAAAATTCCACAAGTCACGGATCTATTAATAGATCAGCGATTACGTAATCGTACGACAGCGTTTTGATTTTGCGTGATACGCAAAATTCGACAAACACAGAGACGAGGAGAGAGAAACTTTCTTCACACAAAGTACCGAGATAGATTTAACACTTTTCTCACATAGATGCAATTGTCCTCGCGAAGAAAACGGCGACGTTCCTTCCGTTGCGCGATTCTTTCAGATGATCCGCTTAAACTCTTCACCCTCCTCGGGACTTCTAAGTACAGAGAACACGATGCGATAGTTTGTGTCTAGCATTTTACACATAGTGCCGGTATACGTTACCGCTCGTGGTACGTAGTGGTGCCTTCTGGTCGCCCGCAAATTAGGAAACGGAAAAGAAAAAGCCACTCTCCTGCGAGAAGTCACTTTGCGCGCGGGTGTTTCCTTGGCGCGGCGCTCATCCGTAGGGTTGTCGTCACCGCTACGGGGTGCTGTGCCTCGCCAAAGGATCGTTCTGCACTTGAGAATTCGATCTGGTTTTTCAGGACAAGCTGCGTCTAAATCCAAGACAATTTGCGAAAACGTGCTCGCGCTAAAATGGCGGCGCGGCGCCGTCGTTTCGGAGTTTAGCTCAGAAATCACTAATTCCGACCGGGCTGGCTGCCTGGCGATTCTTCCTAAACACTGACAAGTCGCTCGCTGATCGATCGAGCGACGAGGTAGCCTCTTCGAGAAAAGATCTTCACTATGAAACACCGATCACACTCACAATCAGCCGAACAACGCGACGAGGAGCCGGGATTTGCCTGCTCCGGGTTGCGACCAGCCTCTGAACGCCAGCGAATCGAATAAATCGCACTGAGAGACCAACCGAGAGGAAGACTTGCGCCCTGAGCCGTAGCAAGCTCGATTGCAGGGCCGTGACTAAATAGGGCGTCTTTTGCCGAGGGGTAGAGTTTCGATTCGAGCGGAGTTCAACGCTCCGACAGCGGCTAAATATTAACTGCACGGCGCAGTCGAGAGCAGAACATATTATTTTCGCGCGCATGTCGAGAAATGTGGTCTATCGCACAGTTTACAAAGCAAGAATACCAGATAAGTTTTATCTAAGTCTCGCGATTAGTTTCCGTAAAAGTGATCACACGTCAATCAAATTACGAGCGTTGATATTATCAGCATTGCTTGTGGAATATTTATATCGTTGATTACGCAATATTTTTTATAAGCGCCCAACTACAGCGGTTATCGTTCGACAAACATCGATTTCAGTTCAAGGTATATGGTTTACATTTTACGAGTTTATTATCGTAATTTTTATGACACGAATGCTCTGTTAATCTTTTCAGACGTATTGTTCAATTTTTATGGAACGTCTATTATGACTGAAATTGCTCGCATTATCTTTTATAATGTAACATTTCCAATAAATTGATGCAATCAAATGCAATCGATAATTTAATGCGTTTCCTTTTTCGGGTAGTCATATTTAGATTAACTTTTAAATAAAATAAAAAAGGAGTACAGTTCAGAATTAATAAATTATTACGAATAATCTTTGATCGTTTAAAAACATGATTTTCGCTTTTTCTGAAAAAGGCGCTTTGAAAAATTGAATGGAGCTCGTTGTTACATTTTCTTTACGTGGTTTCTGTTCTTACATAGCCGCACCTGAGAGGTTCCCCTACTATAAACTGCTCCAACTTATGACGATGACGAGCGTCGGCATCGCTGTCGACATCGACCATGACTCATTTTTCCGCAAGTGCCAACGCGACCGAGTTTCCTCGTCACATTTTTGTTAATTACGAGACTGATCTAGCATCCGCTTTCTTTTCCATCATAATGCAGCTCTTGATTGTAAGTATGCGCTCTTTTACACATCCATATCTCTTACGCTAAGCCTTGACCATATTGGCCGTCTTTCTCGATCCGACGTCGTCGGTTCGTCTTGTACCCCGATCCCCGCCGGCTGTTTCTGTGCCTGCCTTTTCCCTCTTGTTCCCTCACGTCCCATGAGATCCCATCGTCGGAATATCGAACGAGCAGATATTTGTGACCTCGTATACTTGGTTTTAGCTAACTCATTGCAACTTGAACACGTGTTTAAATGTGTATTTAATCACGTATTTAAATGTGTATTTAATCACGTATTTAAAAAAAATTTTTAAATTTTCTTGTTTGAGTCACACAAGCATTTACAAAGCAACACACCTGCTATTAATAAAGCTTTTAATTCTAGTTTTCTAAATTTAACTTTAATTTATAAATCTTAAATTTTCTTTTATTGAGATTTTTTTTCTAATTATTCCAAGATTTAAAAAAATTTTTTTACACTTTTATTATTAAGTTTTTAGTCTTGTAAACTTATTAATATATATAGTTTTTAATTGGTATTCATTAAAGTTATACCTGTGTACTAATGTTACAGATAAAGAACATTCAAAGACTTTCCATCGTGCAGAATCGCAGAATTGCTTTCGTCTGCAAGTGGATGATTTTTTTCAAGTAGATAGATAAATATAGTTGCTTGTGAGCATTTGTATTTGCAGAAACTTACACGCTACAAAGCCGGTATGATAAAATCGTATTTCACCGTTTATCTGTACGCAGGATAGCTTTTGCTATTACTCTCTCGTGGTAATTACAATCGCGATATTTAAAATCTTCGATAAACTCGCGATTAATTGATAATTAAATTTATAAGAAGAACGAGCGGTCTTTATCACAGAGCAACAACTTGCTGACAAAGCAAGAGCGAAAGGGGAAAAATATTTTTAAAATTTCTGAGAACGGATGAACTTCTGGATAAAGATTAGCGCGCCGCGCTTTAATTGAACTGTTAAACGGAATTTAAAGATTGTGAACAACGGAATGTTGAGCGAGACATCGTAATTGAGCAATATTACTTTTGTCTACGCGGTCGTGAGTTTAAAGAGTGCAGAGGTCGAGGACGACGCCGCTCGTTGAAAATTCGTCATTCAACAATTTGATAGATTCAAATATAAGCGACTATTATTTTAAAGCTTGTAAATGTGTTGACATTAATTTTATTTTTATAGGTGTTTAATATTATAGTATTAAATATTTAATTGAAAAGAATATCTCTTGCAGATTATATGTAACATATTTAAAAACTTTATGAGAAATACAATGTGGGAATAATACAATTGTCAATAAATTTTTCCATTTGCTCATTAAGATATATTCTCTTCTTTGCTATCGTGTTATAAATAACATTAAAATGTTAAGTAGAAATTCCGATTAGATTACGTTAAGTTACGAATATTTCTGATAATTAGTATATATACATATTTCATAATAAATCTTACACAACTAGTTAAACCCGTTTTTAACTAAAGTGATGTAATAATTTAGAAAAGTATGCTTACATAATCTCTCAGAAATTAAAATTAAACCAAAAAATATATCACACAATATTTTTTATAATTAAAAAAAAAGAGATTGTTAAAATACATTGTGGAATAAATGATTTAAAAAATAACGTTTAGCTCATCGAAAATGTATACGCTTTGTCTTGACAACAATGGACAATATATATTATGTAATAGCAAATTTAATAAAATAATTTCTTTTATTATTGTTTTTAGGTCAAACAAATAACTAATTATTAATTTTATGAAATTTGAATAATCTGTTTCTTTTTCTTTTTTTAAACTGTTGCATATTACATAAAGCTCATTAAATTCAAAACGAATCAAAATGCTTACTTAAAACAATTTTAAAATAAATTTTTGTCATTTCTTGCAAAAATATAACTCTTTTTTGTCACTGAAAATCATTATTATTGTTTCTCCTGCCAATGTATTAATACTTCCGCCATGATCTTTCTGAATTGTTTTTCACCATAAATCATTATTATAAAGTTACAATTGACTGGATATCAAATGAGTTTCTATTGTGCTAAACATCACTCGCTGTCGTTGGCAAAAACATCTGCTTTCGTCATGTTCGTAATATGAGTCAGCTACTCACGCACAATACTATTTCGGCGACACTTGAAGAGCACGCGATGCCATAATTCTACGCCTTATCAATTCATACAGGTGGTTTGAAACTGTGCAATTCTTTGCCAGTAATATTCGATCGTGTTCGCCTCAATAACATCCCAAGTAAAAAAGAGAAATTTAAGTGAAGTTTAAAAGTCAACTCGATCTCTCAGTGCTAAAAGTTTTTCTCAATATAATGAAAAATTTTGAAACACATTTTAAGATACACAAGTTAAGACGCAAACATTTTTTTCTACGGAGTGACGAAACGTAGAAATTCAATGGTGAAAGTTAAATATAATAATCTGTGTTTTTAAAATAAATATAAAATTATCATGTTAAGAATTCCACAAGACAAGACAGATCGATCGCTCGACGCCGATAGACAAATGAAGCGAGCGTTCGATACGATGAGACTATTTGGGATCAATCTTGCGCCCTTTAAGTTCCAAATTCAACGCTCGGGTAAATAATAGAAAGTCTTACCGTTCTTTGTTGTATCCATCTTGTTGGTGTCGTGAGGCGATCGACGAATTATTGCGACTTCACTCGTGATTTTCGGCGATTTTTTGATTCTATCTTCCAAGATAGGTCAACATAGTCCTAAAGACTGCATACAACTAACGGAAATTGATTACTTTAGGAAATCCGACGGAGAGCAAAATTCCAACGAAGAATGATTTTCAAAACACCAATGGAAGAGAAGAAAATTTTTCCGCTTAGATAGCTGTATCTTTCGAACAGAAATAGACCTGTTGTTCAACAAGAAAGTTTCCCTACTGTGACTCAAAAGTAGTCGAAAACTAGAGGATTTTCATACATCATGCTGGACTTGACAGATCCTTTCACCGTTGGACATTGGATACGTGCTGCAACCGATCTCTCTCTCTCTTTCACACAAACACACACACAGACATATACACAAGTATACACATACATACCCCCACACACACACGCACGCACACTCATACACACGAGCGTACCTGATCGCGATTTTGTGGCTGCACGACGAAAGCGACGACGGCGCGCGTCGACGTGCCGAACGACACTGCGCGCACGTACTTGCACGATACTTACCAATCACTCTCTCGCGCTAGACGATGTACGTACTACCGCCACCATCGGCCGAAAGTCACTTCTTCTTATCATTGCGAGACTTTTGCTCGCCAGTTGATTCGCCGATGATCTAGATTTATGAATTGATAACGACGAGAAGAAAAAAGATTGCGTCCCGTTGAAGGCCCTCTGCGATCACGGATTGATCGTCACGTCATACGCTTTAGGATTCTCTATTTGGAGCAATAGTTTGTGACCACGCGTGACAACTTCGAGAATATTTGTGACGCCAGTCAAGATCGATAACAAAATCAAAATTTTATTTTTTCCATCAAGATGTCGATGAATTATCTCGAACCCATGCTATCTTTGTTAATATTGTGAGTATAAACTGATACACAAGAATGTAAGTAGACTTTCTTTTCAGATACAGTTATTTATCGAATTTCTAGATACGTTTTGTTACCTTATTTACATTGATAAAAAATTTCTCGACTCAACGGAAACATCGGGATTGATAAGAAAATAATTCTAAATAAGAAATAATGGAAAGTACCGTTTCCTCGATAACTAAAATAATAATATAAGATGTATATTTTTGTATAAGAAGGATAAAGAATATCCATAGTAAAATAGGAAATAAATGTTTTTTAAATTATGAAAATTAACCGAAAATGCATAAATGAAATAAGACCACTGACGGTCTTTATTCTCTAGAAGAATACAATGCATATATCATAATAGTCGACAACATATCGAGACTGTTATTCAGGCTCAAAAATATTACTCATACATTCATCGATCGAGATACAGATCTCACTAAGCGTCACTCCGTGTGTTTTAAAGTCGAGTAAACGCCCGATTGTTCTGTGCAGTTCTTTAAATAATTAATTAACATAATAACAATTAAATATATATTAGAATTTTCTCCCATCCCAATCTTTTCTACTCTCTCTTTTCTTCTTTCTCTCTCTCTCTCTCTCTCTCTCTCTCTATCTATCTCTCTCTCTCTCTCATACGCTCTTGCTTAGCATCTCTCTTTCTTATTTTCAATAGCGAGTTTAATAGTGGCAAGAATAAATTTCGAAACAGCAGGTTCACATTAATTTTCGACACACATGTTTCGTACACATGTTATTTTATGTGAATTTCTTATGATGTGCTTTCCTATAAAAAATAAAGATTTATTTTTGCAGATATGATTATCTCATGATCCGCAATAAATATTCATGGTCAACAATTAATACCTCACGATCCAATTATCGCTACGCAAATTAATGATACGCGCAAAGTTAAAATCAGATAATAGACTAGGTATTCAAATCTTATCAAAGTTACCTACGCATGCGTTTTCTACGAATCTCGACCGACTCCTGCGAATTTTGCGAGCGTGGCGAACGAAGGCGACATCCGTCGTGCGATGAATACCGCTTCGACGCCTTTAAAAGTCCTTCTTCTTCTCCTTTCCCACCACGATATTGTCGTGGTAACTGATCTCTCCGCCAGCAACGGCGGGTTGCAGATAATGCGGTTCTACATCAATCTTCTCCTTCACGTCCGGGTCCAGCACTAGAGAGTGATGCGGTCCGTGATGAAGATGCTGCTGTTGCTGCGGCTGATGTTGATGCTGATGCTCATGTTGATGCTGATGATGGTGCTCGTGCTGAGCCTCCTTGTCTTCTTGGTTGTATTTTTTGAACAACTCCTTCAATTTCTCTAACTCAACCTCTTCCTCAAACTTGGAGAATAATTCCGTCACACCGGATTCGTTTTGTTTTTGCGAGTCCTTCAATTTCTTTAAAAGTTGATGGAACCGCTCGTTAGCCTGAGCCCCGTCCCTCGTCGTGTTCTTCGAGGCATTGTAGTCCAGCAGTAAATCGGGTGTCTCGTGTGCTACGTTCACGTTTTTATCCAAATTTTCCTCCGTCAGAGACTGCAATAGGGTGTTGTAATCCGGCTTGATTTTCGAGGTCTCCATGCAAGAACTGCAAGAACAGTTTGTGATGATCTGCACTTTCTTCTGCATAGTTATTGGATTATTCTGCTCGTCTTTGCAGTCTAGCGTAACCTAAAAAATAATACAGAATAACTTAAAATAATTAGATTATATTTTAAAAAACTGTAAAATTTGCAATTCCTTTGGAAATGCATTAATTTTAGCAATAAATAGCACGGTAATTTTGTTATCAGATTTACATAGGTATCTCACAAAGCAATAAAAATCAACCAAATTAATTATATTGTAAATTGTATAAACTCAGAAAAATATAATGATTACGTGATATAATGAAATTGTATTATAGCTCATTCAAACAACTTAAAGATGTTAAAAGATAACTAGATAAATAAAGAAATGATAGCGCATTTTTAATCTCAGTGCGATAAGTTTTATTATACACATGTAAGAGTTATTTGTTGTAAATTAAAGTAAATTAATAATAAGGCAACAAAGTTCTTAAGAGATATAATTTTCTAAGTAGAAAAAAGTTACGAGAGAAAAATAACAAAATAATTAATTATTAATCCAATTTAATAAATTAAATAATGCAAGTATGTTTCGCTTAATTACAATTGTTAATTATTATCTTTTATACGCAACGAAAAAATTTCAAAAAGTTTGTTGTAAGATTCGTTACAGTCAGGAAACTTAACAGTTGCCAGGTATAATTTTCATCACGCACAACAAAATTGAAAGTTGTAAATTCCAAAAGAATAATTTATCATTCTGAAATATAGGCCAGAAAGTTTCAAATTTCAGCTTAAAGAAGTGCGGTCGTAAATAGGAAAGCATGAGTCATCCTGCCAGATTCGCCGGATATTGCTTCTTCCGATTACAAGTGCAGATTATCGATCGAAGTTCCTATATTTGTACACTCACAGTATGCCAAACGCTGTCCAGAGGTTGACAGGAGTCGCAGTAAGGTCTTATGAGATCACCGGGTGCGGACGGTTCGCTGTGAGGGACCATGTACGAGAAACAAGCACCGACGCATACATTGTTGTCCAATTCCTGTGAGGAACACTGGGGCCATGTTACCACTTGCTTTATAGGCGTCGTCTTGCACCAGCTGTGCTTATCTGGATACAGCACGATATTATGAACCTGGTAAAAAATTATTATCTCGTAAAATTTATTTTATCTATTCTATGTATAAAAAAATATTAAATTAAATAACATATAAAATTATTACACGGATAATGTACAATGCGTTTTATATAACAAATTACGCAATTTGAAAACATCAGTAACGTGTGAAGACAAACCTTGTGTTCACGATGAGCACTGAGCAGATCAGAATGCATCATCAACATCAGCGTCATCGTGGACAGTCGCCATGATATCGTTCCCATGATTTCTGAAATGACACAAGGAAACAGAGAATATCCGAACCTTTCCAATTTCGTCTTAGACAAAGACGAATAAAATAAATCGAATATTCAGGAGATCAATTGCACAATTTTTCTTTCAAATGTCAGAGAAGCTCACGTAAACACGATTGCAAAATTGTTTTCAACGCTGACGAATTATCGCAGTGGGAATAGAGAGGCGAAGGAAAAAGAGAATTGGTCTTGAATGCAAATTTTGATCTTTTCTGCGAATCAACATGGCTACTTCGTGGCTCCGACGTGCGTGTCGAGTGTCTGGGGTATTGTGATCATTTCTCTGAATGAATGATAGTCGCATGCTTAATTGTATTTCTAGCTTTCAACTGAAAGCACGTCATAAAAATTTAGCGCGGCATCACGTGCTTTCTTTATGTTTGCATTTGCAAAATTTATCTAAACTTGTTAATTAATACATTTAATATTAATAACAAGAAGTAAGTTTTAAAGACGTTTGAATAATTTATGCTTGTAAAGTGAATAACTATGACCAAAGGGCAGTGCCTAAATTATTTTCACTACCGAGGAGTTAATTAGATGGTTCGCGCGCGACCTCCAAGTATCCGTAAAAAGACCCGTCGAAAGTTATGGTCCGCTCGTTTCGGCGCCAACGAAGGAACGGGTTCTCGTTATTGGGTGATGGCGCGACGCGGTTCATTCATAGATCATTAAGGCCGATAACCCGATCTAAATGTGGCATGCTCGAGTTTTAACTTTCTGAGATTTTTGAGATAAAGGAAATTTCTGTGTTCTCGGTGCTTGGCGCATAGACAGGAATCTGTCGTAGACGTAAGACCCGCCATAAATAGCGGCAGATTTAAGGCACCGGCCCTGGGAACGCAATGCACTCCTTCCGGCGATGTAAATATTTTTAAAGCCGGAGGATGTGGCGCCCGAGAGATAAAAGATAGAAAAACGTGCTCTCCATTTAAATACAACAAGATAAAAACAATAAAGATTGGAATTCTGCAAATAAAATAAAAGAACTGTGCCGACATAAAAAAGAAATGTGAGTGAAGTTAATGCACACTACTCTACAAAAAATAAAGAACACTTTTCAGATGCTCAAAATAAAGCAATTTTTAAAGCATTAAAACTCGGCAAAAAATTAAAGAAGCATTTTAAAGCTTGAAAGTTGGTACTTTTATGTGCTTTAGACGTACTTTAAAAAAATTTTTTTATCGAGCTGCAGAGTGTAGAAAGTATTATTATTTTTTCGAGCTTGGAAGTGTTAAGATAAAATATTTTTAGAAAACAATCCAAAGCATATAAAAGTACAAGTTTCAAGCTTAAAAATGTATTTTTACCTTTTTTATATACGGTTTTTCGCTGAGTTACAACGATTTGAAAATTTATCAATTTTGAGCGCCTGAACGTCTCGACGCGGCAAAGCAGTGCGGCCGAGAACAACGACTGAGTGTACGCCATTAATACGGCCTTGTGTATAAGACAAAGTAAAGCGAAATATTATTATTAAACAGTAACATACACGCAAAGTACGGTTAGAAAATATTTTACCGATCCAAAGAATAAAAAATTTATAAAAGAACCGACCCATACATAGGGACATAATTTTGCTTGATAGTATGATAAATATAGACAAAGCAATTAATGGCGGATATACAAATCATTGAGAGATAAAAGAATTAAAAGATTACGCAACACGACAAAATGTAGAATAGATAAACCTTTGTTTATAATTAATTTTTATTGATTGAAAAGGCCTAATATTAATTATTTCGTAGATATTTGTATTATATTTTTTATTTTTATATCGAGCACCAGAAAGCTTCGGGTTTCAAATATGCTTGTTATGAGCGCTTCGACTTATCGAGAGTTAAATCTTCCGCGAACCAACCGCAGCGACATCGATACAAATGTCGAACCAGGGGGACGCGGTTCCAATTACGTGGACTCCGTCGCTTTTTCGGTTGCTCCGAAAAAAAGGAACTCAAATCAGGAGATCCAGCAACATTGCATCGGTTACTCTCATGCGTCTGCGATCCTTCGAAAGATTCACGTCCTCGGAGCCGGGACTCACGAGCTGAATTCCTGACAACGGCAAGAATCTTGTCCCTCGCTGGACAATTGGTCGCCAGCATTTCCAGAGAAGAGGATCAATTTTTCGTCTCCGCCGCCGTCTCGTCCGCGAGATACATTTCGATTGCAAGCTACCCCGCCGCTTCTCCACGCCGCCTCATTTTCTTCGTCGTCTTTCTTCGCGTCCTTTTCCTCCTATTCCACGACTTCCACGATTTGTACCCCTCTCGCCCTACGAACGCGTTCGGTTCGCAGGAAGATCTTTTTCTTCGCTCCGCAACGCAACCCTTCGTCCTCCTTTATTCTCACGCAGAATCTCTCCGATCTTCCGTTTTTTATTTCGAGTTCCGAGAATCACGATGCAGTCAGGGCTGCGCCGCTTTCATGAATTTTGGAGAAGCCGATCGATTGGTATGTCGGAAATGATCGGCAAAAAAATGTGCAAAATTCAAAGTAGCAAGCTTCTTTGTATTCGATTAAAATCGACGACACGCGGTCATCAAATGCGACATGGTTAAGTAATTGATAATATTGTGGAATTTATCATATCGTAAAAATAAATCTTATGCTCGCATGGGATCTTGTTTATCGAACCAGCCAGAGAATTCCAAAGAAACGTATCACGTTTCAAAAATTAGGCCTCTCGAGTAATTCTTGTTGAATCACCCTGTATGCTTCGAAGCCGCGAAGAGGTGTGGGGCAACACGGCGTGGCCGTCCGTCTCATTTCTACGAGCGGAGATTTGAATGACCGAATAGGATGCAACAGGGATGGACTCTAGCAAGATTTAACTATTGGCCGAATCTGAAACTTTTTCGAAATAGCATTTCCGAAAATACTCATCATCTTGTATTTGTAATGAAAACAGACTTGCATTCTAAAAATAAAATTAAATAAAATAAGTATACCATAGAAGCATAAGCCAGTACCATAAGCAGTAAAATACAGTTAGCTTCTTGATATTAACATTAACAAAATTGAATTCCATATTGCAGAATGCTTAACTTTATAATTTGATTATTTTCTCGCCTCGCGAGTCGACATTTTCCAATCATTTGGCAACTGGCGATTGATCAAATTGCTTCTTTTTTTATATTTGTCTAGCTAAATTTATGTTTCTAAAAAGCTTGCATTGCAAACAAATAATCCAGTTACACATATCATTGTATCTAGTCGATATAATGTTATAAGTTAAAAGTGAAAGATCACGTTTGTCGGTCTTTTTCTAATTTCAAGCTTTTACGTGAGTTGACTCTCATCGTTCTAACGCAGATATTTTATTTTCTATGATGTATAGACTGGTTGCGGCCCTGCGACGGCCGCAGCCAGAAGTCCAAAGCTCTTTGTTGCTGCGCCACCTTCTCTTCTCGCCTCTGGGTCCGTGTCGGTGGCACGGAGGACCTCCGGCCCACCTCCTTCTTCGCCTCCATCTCGGTCCCGTGCCTTCGATTTGCTCGTGTCCTCGAGATACCGAGAGACGATGAAAAGAGAGAGAGAGAGAGTGAGTGAGTGAGTGAGAGAGAGAGAGAAAGAATGAGAGATGCCGCGGGTGGGAGCAGGAAGACGATAGGATCGGAGCGAAGAAAGAAAGACGGAGAGAGAAGGTCCTGCGCCCAGCCGCGAGATTAATTTGATTTTCAAGCAAATTTGACGCGCCCCCGAGCCTAGGCGGTGCCAGCACAAAGAGCGCCGCGCCTGTCCGCCCATGTGTGTGCCCCGTCGAAATCCCCGACGGTTTTCCATCGATCCTCTCCCGTTGATCCTTCTTCATCTATCCACCGTCGACAGCGCAGCGCCGACACGATGGCGCGTTCGTTATAAAGGCACGATGCGTATCACGGGCGTTTTAGCGTCCAGCGTTAGATATTAGATCGTAGCAAACAGAAACGTCAAGATAGCATGATAGCTATACATATCGATGACGTCAGCAGCGAGGAAGCCGACACAATTTCTCCACAACCAGTTGCGTTTTTTACGCACGTTTTATTTTCACGAAGAATTTTAAAATAAAATCAATATTTCTGCACACAAACAGCACTCTGTTGCTTTAATCACGCAAAAATCAGTTGAGAAGAAATATTGTACGTAAGGATATAAATGCGTAGCGTTCGCCACTTACAGTTGCGCCTCGCAAGTCGTATTACAGTATCAAGGTATCGAAGTACATTAAAAGGGAGAAAAAGGATAAATAGAAATTGCATCCGGCGGCGAGAGGCATTCCGTGTAGGCGCTCGCACGCTTTTGTACGATCGAAACCATTTCCTCTATGCACAGTTTCTCCCTCCTTCTCTTTTTCTCGCTCTTTTTCCGCGCAACCATCACCTTCGCCAGCCTTCTTCCGTCGACAATCATAAGCAACATGGATACGCTCGACATAGCTAAAGCATAGTCCGGCACGCAGGGTCACGGGTCGCGGCGGTTGCTCGCTCGCTAAGCGCCGACGTCGCATTATTTGTCTCGTGATGAAGCTGTCCAGCGGCAGAAAATATTATTTCTACCTTCTGGTGCCAGCTTCGTGCGCGCGCCAATCATCCTGCGGTCCATACCTGGCCGGGAGAAAGAGAGAGAGAGAGAGAGGTTCGGTCGTCCCGAAGTTCAATCTCCCGAACTTAATGATCCGATGCATGGCTGAGCGTTCCGGAGAGATGACGGCGAGTGATATATCCATAATTAGATGTCTCGGGCTTTAATCTCCCATTGGCTTTAATGAAAATCTCCACCTCCCGTTTTGACATACCCTAATTTCACATTTTGTTGGGACGCCGGCGCGCCCCCGTGTTTTTCTCCTTTTTTCCCCTCTGTTTTTCTCGTTTCTTTTTTTTTTTTGCCTCTTCGGGATATCGAGGTACCGTGGGCGAACTAATAGATGGTCCGGGGCACGGGGTGAGCTTGAAGGATGGAGGAGGGTGCGCGGGATTGCGCGAGGATACCTGGTGAAGAGACGGGGTGAGGCAAGGCCCGCGGGGCACGAAAGGGAGAGCCCGGGAACGGGTGGGTGCGAGGGAGACGGACGGCGCCGAAAAAAGGAGTTTGCCAACAGCAGCGGGGGATGCCCCGAAAACACGCTGGACGTGTGGCGCCATTTCGGCTCCTTTTTTTTCTCCCTCTTCTTCGTCGTCGTCGTCCCCTCCGTTGCGCACGGCTCCTCGTTGCTTTTGTTTCTTCGCCCATACTAATTCTTCGCGAGCTCGACGGCGTGCCCGGAACGCGCGTGGGGAACAAACTGGAGCCGGCGAGAAGGGGATGGGGGACGAGCCAGGCGGAAGAGGGCTTGCGCGATCTTTGCTCCATTCTTTCATGATGAAGTAGCTCTCCAAATAGTTTGATTTTTATTTTCTTTCATCTCCTTCTTCCGAAACATTCTGTACTTTGTACAAAATATTTTTTGCAAAGGTAAAGTATTCGGACGGTTTCTTGCTCCAAATATCGACACCGAGATCGCTGTTCTTCTCACAATCAGTTCGACTTCTATATGCGCTTTCAAAAGACTCTAGACGCTAATAGGTGTTGCTTCGCTCGCCCGTATTTCGTACGGAAATCCAGTTTTATCGCGAAGGAAGGAGACGAAAATAAAACTCGTAAACGGCGAGATAGCTTCCTGCGTACGCGCAGCACACGCGACTCGTGTGCGCGACGCTTTAAGGGCCCCCTCGGCGCGGTGTGGCGGCCCCCGTGAGCGCGGACCACATACCTGCAAACGAACGCTCTTAAAAGGAAGGGCAGAGCCAAAGAACAGGTCGTTAAAATGTAATGACATTGTTGTTTTTAATGCTCGCCTCTTTAAAACGGGCCCTTTCGTCTTCCTCGAGCCTGCCCGCTACTTCTGGCGCTACCAGCCCCCCCTCGATCCGCTTGTCCGCCCGGCCGAAACCCCTTTAGCACTCTCCTCCTTTCCTCACTCATGCGAAAGACGAGGAGGAACAAATTGCGAATTATCTGTCCTCTTTCGATCGGTGTTATTGCTTCAAAGTACATGTTTCATCGATTCTTCCGCGAAAGTGTTTTTTAAGTGACTCGTGTATAATAAAATATTGTAAGAGATAAAGCAATTTGCAAGTATCTCTCTGCCGTAAAGCTTTATTATTTCGAAAATAAAAGATCTTCGCGATAAACCAGTAATAATATAATAAAATGAGAATAAAACATATGTGATTGACAATCTGCTGTATGCGACAACATTTATCGAGAAAATTTCCGATAATATAATTTCTCTCTCAAAGAGGAAAAAGAGAAGTACAAACTGCACAATACTTTCCATTAAAAAATTTAATTCGAAAATTTTATTTCATTCCAGGATGAGAACGTACAAGAGGAGATACATTTCCTTGTGTACTTGAGAGCGCGAGAGACTCTGCCACGTTTGACGATCGGCGAGGCCGACAATCGGAATCTCGAAACGTCAATATTCTCACCTCGTCGAGCACCTACAGGCTCGACCAATTAAGCCGGACGGTAGCTGCGAGCTGCACGGACCAATCGCGGACAGTCTCCGTTAGAAAGGAACCGATTATGGGTTCGCTACCGCGCAACAGTTTAGCTTGGACTTAACTGTTGCGTCTAAGAAGAGCTATCATTAAGTCCGGAATAGGGGTCCGGGGCATTAGGATTAGTGGCCGAAACGTTTTGGATAGGGTGCTTCTGTATTCTCGAGTTCATTCCCGAGCCCCCGCTCGCTCTTCAGCAATTCGGAAGAGGACTGCGATCATCGTAATTCGATCAGCTGGTGTTGGGTTTCTCGTTCCTCGAAACCGAGGATACGAGAGATAGTTTGCGCTCTCGAAACACTCGCCAGTTCAAAGGCGAAAGCGCAGATCTACGGAAGAATTTAAGTTGTAGACATTGTATCCGATCCCATATTTGGAGACTCCCTCCCTTTAAATTAGTCACGATAATGCCTAGAATCGAGGGTTTCAATCTTTGAAACCCTCGATTTATGACCCTCCGATTTGCTCAGAATTCCAAAGCAATGAGAGTACCGATAGCCGCATGTACGCCCACGGGCGTCGGCGCGCATACATGTACGGTATATGTGCATGACACCCACACAAATACACATGTATACGTACGCATAAACACACGAATGCGTTTCGAATTTCGCAAGAGACAGACGATCTCCCGCTGGAAACGCGGACTTCACAAGAGTCAGCAATTTTCGAGTCGGCGACGAGAGAAACTGCTATCTCTAAAACACTTAACGCGAGTCGAGCTCGCTCGCTCGCTCGCTCGCGGACGCTTGCGTCGCGATCCGGCTTGCATCGCCAGCGATCCGGGAAGCCTTGGCTTCCCCGTAAAGAGACTGTCACTCACCTCGATGTGCCTCACGTCACCGTGCTATCTCGTCCGCAAACTGCGCACCAACGCGCTTGCCGGTCTCCTCGCGAGAGGACGTAGAGCAACAGGTATTCTAGTCGCCGCTCGATCGGGCCAGAATTCTCGCGAGCGGCCGGAGAGAGAAATCGTCCCGGACTCTCTGTCCGGTGAAGCGAAACGCGCGGACCCGCTCGAGGGAGAGTGCGCGCGAGAACTTGGATCTTTCAGAGTACTTTGCAGAACTTCCGATACCGCGAGGCTGTGAGCCGAACCGAGCTAAGCTGAGCACGAAACTGTGCTGCCGATCTCTCGTGTTCCGCTCTCCTCCCCCCGGTCGCCCGCTGCCTCCTTCTCTTCTTCTTCCTCTACCTCCACCACCGGGTTCTCCTTCAGCTCCTCCTTCTACTCGCGGCGTTCGTTCGGTTCCCGTTCCGCGCCGCGTTCCCGTTCCCGTCCTCCCTCTTCGTCGATCTCGCGCCCCGACGTCGGCGTTCACCGAAGGTGCGACAGAGCGGAGAGAAAGGACACGGCGGCTGGTGGAGGCGAACACGAAAGGGGGGAGACGAGATCAACCGTGAGCAAGAGAGATCATTGGAATCGCCCCGTCTCTCTTGCTACGCGTCGCGCGTACTGTAAAAAGCGTATCGCCCGAGGCGTTACACCGCGAACCAGTAAAACTTGTCGTACGCCAGGCATGGTGCGCGTTCTCTCATCGTCGTCATCGTCGTCGCGGTCGTCACGACCGGAACGCGCGCGCGATCGCTCGTTTCAGGGCGGAGCGCGGCGCGAAGGTGACGAAGAGGAGGATTCGGGGACGGCGAGTCGGACGTCCGCGACGCGCGCCTTCGCTGACGTTAACGAGATTACTAAGGGCTGCCGCTAAGAATTCGGGCTTCGGCAGGACTGGCGGCGCGACCTTTTCCCTCTCTTTCTCTCTCGATATCTATACGGCTCCTCCTTGAAATTCATAACTTTTTTTCAGTGGGTATTTTTTCCTACATTTATCTAAATTTACAAAAGTTAAAATAAACTTATGAATATATCAAACGATGTCGAGTACAATAAGAACGTCAGAATCGTAAGAGTGCCACTCGTCATGTAAATTCCAATCGTGTGGAAACTAAGAAGTTAAATTACAAATTAAAAAAAAATTAATTAAAAAATACTATTTGTACTAAACGATAGCTCGACGTTATTTTACGCGTTATTTTATACGCTTTATCGCCGGTCCTAGGATCTCCCTCACGTATTGCTGCAAGTCCTTGCACTTTTGCTCCGTGTCCGTGTCCTCGGAGCTGCCCCAAATGATGAGACCGTCCGCGCCGAGATTAGAGATTGTGTTAATTGTGTTCTCCGCGTCTTTCTGCTCAGAGAAATCCCCCGCAATTGATATCAATATCTCTGCCGACGCACCTTTCGATGTCTGCAAACGTTTCGATAAGCTCGGAAGAACTTTACCTTAGTCAGAAACTTATTCCTGTTATCCTGATACTTGAACCAGTGGTAGGGAAGGACCTGTTGTCGGCGCGAGGTCTTTGCCGCTAATCGCAATGCCTCTGACACCCTGCCCTTTACGAAGCCCGGCCGATCCCCCTCTTTGATTCCCTGCCTCAAGTACACGGAAGGCAAGTGGACGTCCTCGAGCGCGAAGAGCCAAGATGTTCTGTGAAAATTATTGCCGGTGATTATCGCGTTACCAAATGCCCGGCGGCTTCTTTATCACTTCGCGCGATTAGATAACACGCCGGGCGTGAAACCTGCAAAGTTGCTCCAGTTTTTAGTGCCCTGCCGTCCTCGACAGTGACCCATTTCAGTATAAACGGTACAATAATCTTGATATGTGATTGTCTTTCATTCGAGGTGACGTCATCGCCGCATAAATCAATCGGCGGATTAAACAATACGCTCGTAAATTTTACAACTGACGACACGCGATTCCAATGCTAATCTACGAATACCGAGAGATTATCTCGACATCGGTATATATTCCACGTGAAGCGCAATGACGCGTTTACTACATGTACGTTACAAAATTATACGCGCGCTATCAGATGCCGAGTATCGATTTGTCGGATATATTACTCACTCGTCGTTCTCCAATAATACAGCACGATTGCAGTGCGCGGTGGGTTGGTTAGGCGTCTGATTAAAGCAATGCGGATAGCCGTAGTAGCCCCAGGCCCCCTTAGATCGAAGTTTCTTCGCCATCTTCAAAGTCTCCTCCATGAATATTCTTCCATACTTTTCGAAGCGACGCTTTGCTTCTTTTTTGATGGCCGCCTCGCTCCAAAAGAGATGCCTTTCACGTTCCAATTTTATGGACAGAGTTTTGTAAGGTTCGAGGGAGGCCCAATTCTGTCGGAAGATCGGCCGCCAGCTCTCGAAGTCTATCACGCCCACGCCGCTGAACGACTCGTCGGGGATTTGCTTGACTAAGTGCTTCCGAAATACCTCGAGGTGTGTTTTTAAGTCACCCTCTTGGGGAACACCACCGTTTCTCTTTATTACAACTCCTGGAAGATTCAAATTGCTTAGATCGATGACAAAAGTAAGAGCAAAAATTATTTAAAAAACGTTGAAAAGATTACATATATACTAAAATTAGAACGTATACAAAATTTTTGGATAACACATTTTTTTACATTTTTATTTCAGAACAAAATGTTTTCGATTTACCATTTTTATCGGTCAACAATGCTGGAAACATTCCAGGATCATAAAGAATCGCGATCTCTTCACCGCGGAATTTGTCTTCAACATTTTGACGAATCCCAAAATCCTTGAGATCCTCGAATTTCACGTCATATTTGTGGCACATAAAGCTGGGCACGTTCCAGTAAACGTCAAATTGTGAACTGCCCGCCCGTCTATCTTCGGGGGTCGTTGTGCTTAAGCTGAGCAAAAACACGAGGTGACTTGAGTGTGGGCAATGACACTCGTTAGATAAGATATTTTCGGGCCACCGGATTCAAACATTTAATGTTTATGGAACTAAGACTAGATTAGCAATTCTCATATCAAAGAACTAGTTAGCAGTCAATCTGAAATCTATGTATCTATAATTTTGCATTTCATATAATAAATAATTTTCACTAATATTGCTGACAGTTTCGATAAAAAAAATTCGTAATTTCATTAATAACATTTGCAATTTTTAAAAGTATAAGTACCTAATAAATCAATAAATTTCGAAAATTTATATAACTTTTCTTTGCAGAAGTGCAAAATTAAACAAATGTCTAAACACAATGCAAAATATTTAAAAGTTGACACAAAATTCATATCTATATAGATATAAAAGAAGAACGACAAATTGCTTAACTTAACTGATAAAGTTAAACGACGTTTAATTATACATTTAACATATATTCGAGAAGAATGATAAGTCCTTGCTTAGAAAAAATAAATTCTTTTTCTTCAAACAAATCTTGCAATTTTGAAAGGATTGAAGAATATAATATTTTACAAACAAATACCCGTCAGGATTGGCGGCTACCGTAAAGGCAACGATCAGCGAAAATCGAATCGCTAGCATCGTGATTTGGATACGAAGTTTCGCAGCAATTTTACAGACTCCAGTGATGACGAGGCGTGATGAATTACAAACTGACAGTCGAACGTCTTGGGAGTCCCGCGGTATCTAGGCGCCACTAATTAATCAATTGGTGAGGTGGTGCCAAGTAATGAAGATCCGTGCGAGAACGAGAACCCCCCACGATGACCGGACGCTAACAACGTTAGTACGCTAAGTGTGCGACTGAATTCCGCTCGATTTCAGGCCAGTATTTATTCCATATCGTATGTCTCATGTCTTCCCCACCTACTCATCCTACTCGTCCACGCCTCGCAATGTTATCAGGGCTCCGGGTATAGTTCGATGATTCGACGTTTCCGCCTTTTGCACATTGTTCCTCTTTACCTTTTTTTCGCTTTTCTTGTTTATTATTATGCCGCGGCACAAAGAACGCGTGTGAGCGAGTCATACTGGCGCCTCAATGGACACTTAACGACAATGTTATTAAATGTAGCGCGAGATCAATACAAGCGTGTCTAGTCAGAAGCTTCCTAGATGATGAAACACAATGTGCTGGTGAAAGAAATGCATTCTCCTGCTCTTTCTTTCATTATGAAGAAACACTATCTAGCACTTTAAAGCGATCAGAGTTAATAAGTAGTTAACAAGTACTATAATCAGACGGCTGCTCGCAATTCAGAGGAATTTATTCGAATTTATTGCAGTGGAGGAAAACATTTTATTGTAAAATTATTATAATAGAGTGAAAACTATGTCATCTCATTATATTATACATACCGAGAGACACGCTTTTGAAACTTTTCACTAATTATAAGAAATTATATAACAATGAATTATATAACAATGAAATATTCTTATTATATTGACACACTATTCGTGTGTCAAAGAAATTTTTTTAAAAATATTTCCCAGGTAATTGACAAAATTTATGCATTTTACATTTATTTTCCTTTTCACATTTTAATGTTATCAAATTTTTTTTATCTCTGAGATATTATTTCTTCGCAAAGCAATAAAAATTTAATGTATATAAAAATTGTAAAAGTACAGCTTAATTGATTAAATCGATAAATATTCGTGAATAAGTATTGTCGTACGTAAGTGTTATTTTTATTACATAGCATCTAACATAATATCGACAAGGTACAAAGTTTTTGTTAAATCGATTACCTTGTACATTAATTTTCTCGTACGGAAAACAGGTCACGTTCATAGGTATTACACCAGGCCCTCATTTATTGTATCCCTGACTCAGTTTACCCGACTAGCCCCCCCATTACATTACGAGGGAATCGACATTACAATAACATTTGTATTGATTTCACTAGGGATTTGAATATGCTTAATGGTACAAATTTGTACCATCAGAAAAAGCGGCTATATAATCGACGTGTGACTCATATTAATTACTGATCATTAGCGATATCGTTAAATCGATCGCTTGTACGTTCGCTCAAGGCGGAATAGGAACCATGCTTTCCTGTTTGTTTTTACTGGCATTGATTGATCGTTCACACGTACAAGTCTACAAACTTTGTCGAAGGTTGGTCGTTACTCCCCTATCTAAAAGCAAAATGTAAATTTTAACATAATCGCTACGGGTACATCATGGGTATTCTCTCTTATCTTCGGAGAGACCTTGCGCGTCGGCCGTGCTCCACGTTACAAAGCGACGTTTGCTCGCAATGACAAGAATGACAAGAATGACAAGAATATCGTTGCACGATCATCCTGCCTTGGGATATGCAACAAGAAAATCAACTTTTTATATATTATATTCTTTGTCACTACGTAAATAGAAACTATATTTATATTACGATTACCTGTGATATGATTATACAAATCTGTGCCAAAATTTTTACAAAGTATATATAATCAGCTAATATTTCATTCTTTTAATTAAAACTATACAGTATAGTAAAAAAAAAAAAAAAACTTGTACATAACTTTTCCGTTCTTTTTATCAAAGCTATTTATTTTCTTAAACGAGGACAAACCGCAATCAAATAAGTGTTTTTCTTCTGAATATTGCTTGCTTGACTGGTTTCTTTCAACGTGCTTTGAGTCTTGCATATCTAATCGGAACTGGAAACAAATCTTAAGTTACATAACTAACAACAAGTTCTACAGTCGCTATATAGGTTGCTAGTAATAGCATAAAAAATGTTTATCATGAACATAAATTATTTAAATGCGAGTGGGGATGTGTGAAATTGGAAAAGAGATAATTAGGAATAAAAAAAAATGGTGAGTAAAAATAGATCATTCTCGATAAACTTCATTTTATTTTTGACTCGTCTGCCTCTCACACCTCGGCATACGTTGTCATCTAATTAATCGAGATATTGTAAAGGAAAAGTGGGTAAAGTTACTTGGCGTCTAAGAGGCTTATATTATTGAAAATCGGAAATTCTCTTCGGGTAATTACGTTCCTGATTCGCACGTAATCACTATTAGTCGCATGATCGCTTATCTACATTGCTCGAGTCACACAGATACGTATATATACAATACACAATTTCCATAATAGTCCCGATCGCGCGTATCTCAGCCTAGAATAGTATTTTTCGAAGCCAACGACGAGGACAAGAGTGACTTTCGAGAAAGCGAGTTATCCGCTTTGCGTTATATACCAGTCGCTAGTAAGAAAAGTCAAGGTCGCATTCATCCTCGTCTGGCATCGTTACCTTCATCTTTTTTCCTATTGCTGTGTGTGCTCCATGTTCGCTCGCATTCAATCGCTATCTCTTTCTTTCGCGAGAACACACGCGAAAGAGTTTCTGTCTAGGCAGCGACTTGCCGAGCTAGAAGTCTACTGGAGCACGAGACCGATCTTGCCAGGTGTCATACTGGGACAACGCCAGTTGTACAAGTAGTACTGCAGATTTCCGTCACCGATACCGAATTTAAGCGGCTCTAAAAATTCCTTATTATCCATGAGATCCAGCGCGTTGAACACATCAAAACCCAACTGTGAGAATAAAGAATGTATATTTGACAGCTGATTGTGTGTATTCAAAAAGTTTGCGCTATAAATACGCGAAATAAACTTACGTCACGAGCAGATATTAAAGCATCCATCATCAGCTCAAGCCACGGCGTCACGGTAGACACGTTGTAGAAACTGTATGCGGCTTTGAGAGTCTTGTGTGTCTGATGATGCATGATGGAGCTGGGCAAAGTGTAGTAACTCACCATATCGGTGATCTTTCCTTCCTTCTCTACCACAAAACTATTAATAATACCAGATTGTGGTAGGAACCAATGTTCGAACTCTTCGACCGAGAACATCGGAGCAAGATCAAACTTCTCCAAATACTACAAAACGAATAAAAATTAATAACGATATAATATCGATGATATAAAATATATACCAACAATTTTCACCTTTATACTTACTTCTGTTAATATTTTATGCGCTTGCGGTATGTCTGTGTAAACCAGCTTTCTAAAGCCGGGTACTTTTGTATTCTCTGGCAGTTTGTATAGCTTTAGAGTCCTCTGCATCGTCATATTGCGAGTAAGATGAGAGAATTTGATATCAATCAACTTTTTTGGGTTGAGAGATCGATGCCAGTATCTAATACATAGACAATGCTGGTTAATTTACTTGTAAGCCAAATAGAATGGAATTTTAAGCGTTTTGTACACAGACCTGCATGTTGCAATTGGTTTTGGTAAAACAACACCGGCAGTGTATACAGCCTGAAAGATACCCTTTAAATTCACTCTCCTCGTAATTTCGCGTATCAACACAGGTGCAACTCTTTTTGATCTTAGTTTTTTGTGAACGCACAAGAAGTTGATCTCCACCATTTTCTGAGAACTAAAAATATTTTTTACATTACATTAAGAAAAATAGGAAACAGTGTACAGAAACTTACTGATTGTAGACGCGTAGTGTGGCTGGAATAGCGGAAATAAAACCGACTAGACGTCCGCTCTTGCTCACTCGTACGCCGCAATGCCACTCTTTGCACCAGCCAGGAGGTTGAAGAGCCCATTTCAAAAAGGTAGGAGGATAATCAAATCTGAACATTGCATCATCATCTTCGACATAATTCTCCGAGAGTAGTGTGTATAGTTCAGATAAGACCAGAGGATCATCCAAATTCAAAGTATCCCATTGAAAATCAGCAGGTAGTGAATACGGTTCTGCCCTAACAGATGTTTTATCAGGTTCAATTGGCTCATTGCGCACAATTTTCTCATCTGTAAATCAGTAACGAAAACGTTTTTAAAGAAATGTTAATAAATTGAATAAAATAAAATAAATCCTTGATTTAATTATTTACCCATTTTTGGTACTGGCTGTGTGCTCCAAAATTGATAAGGCTTTTGCAAGGCTTCCTCTTGAGTTTTGGCAGGTTTTTGTTGCATGTTAAATACTTCCATCGCCATCTGGATATCCTTTATAGAGATATTGCACGCGCTAGGCATCTCTTTCTCTTCCCTATTATTGTTGTGATTTTCACTGGCTGCATGCACCGCCTCTTTCTTTTTCTTCCGAGCTTCTCTCTTCTTGGAGCTAGGATAAAATAATAAAAACCATGTTTTCTTAACATATCTAATCATATATAATTCCAAATAGTATAAATATTCAGTGCTAAACATAGCTGAAAGACATGTTCAATAATCATCACACAATTATGACTCTACATATACTGTAAGAAACACAGACCTGAATATATAATGAGTAATCATGACATAGCAAATACATAAAAATTTGACTTTATTTATATGCATACAAACAATAATCAAAAAGTGCAAAGCTAGAATTTTCAGTACACTGATTAAATATTTCTTAATAAAATAAATTATATTGAATTAAAACGACGTGATTGTGAGATTATCTAGCATGTTTTGCAAGCGAGAAAATAGCTCCGAATAGAATTTTACAAAAGATTCGAGGATGCTTTCATTCTATGTTAAACCGCAATCGAATTTCGCTGCGGCGATACGAAAATGCATCAATAATTATGCTGAGACGTGTCCACTGATCGTCCACCGGGTATCCGTCAAACAAATATAGGTTAAGATGAGGGAATGAAGTGTAGGGCAATTTTGGTAACCACGTCGAAGGCAAATTTGTGACTTTCTGCAAAAATAAAATGTGCATTGCATACCTTTTATTCCGCGCATCCTTTTCGTGGGCTTCATCCTTCTTAGTTTCTCGTTCCGCGACCTGAGTCTTTTCCTCCATTTTAATATAGATTTTTGTTGCGCATGCAGCACGGCGCTAACAGTGACGCTGCTTTATAGTGTTAACAGATCATCACAGATGGAGAGACTATTTCTACGCGTGCGCAGTAGTGCAAATAATAGCAACGTGCCGCATGCTGGGTATGTATGTTTTTATGAATTATATATCAACAAAAACTACAAATTATGGCAATTTACATCTCAAATTCACATTATTATTCAACTTGGAATAACTTCAGCAATTTCATATCCGAAACACGCTATTAGACGTATTCGCTTTAATCACTTTTGCCATTTATTCAAAATAGTCGTTTTGCCACAAGCAAATTTATCTCAAGCGTACCACCTACGGATGCGTCTCACACTTCGCGCAGCTTTGCATCGAGAAATAACCGCCGTAAAATATTTCGTATTATTCGCGTTTTTTACTCGATGAAAGTGTATTTTGCGTATAAGGCGATATCGAAAATGTCGTGTACAATGTCAGACGTCATTATAGTATATTAATTAACGTACAGAACTACGATTAACCATCGTATCTCGATCGCAAGTTTTATCACACGATTCGCCGCGCATCGTTACATAGCCTACCTATTGCGATGCAATCGAATCAAAGTCAATCGTGTAATTTACGTAGCTTGCAAAGCGCATCGAAAACAGCGAGTAAATAAACAGTCGACGGCTACAGCAAATTAATTAAAGTAAATTGATATTCATTAGCTATTGACATAACTATTTCTACTATTTTTTCAGATGTTCAGTTGGCAACAAGTGAATTTGTCGCGAGTCCAATCAACCGTTTTTTTAGACGCGTTTTATACTTCGCACCGTTCCCGCGTCAAGAAACAACCGCCGTAAAATCGTTTCGCGTTCTTCCTCGATGAAAGTTTGTTTCGCGCGCAAGACAGTATCGATAATGTCGCATACGATGTCAGACATAATTGTAAAGTGTTAATTAGTTTGCAAGAATACAATTAACCATGATATCGCGATCGTAAGTTTGTCGTTCATCCGAGCACGATTCTTGAATGTTACGCATCGTTACATAGCCTATCTATTGCGATCCAATCGAATCGAAGTTGATCGCGTAATTTACATAGCCCGCAAAGCGCATCGAAAATAGCGTGTGGAAACAGTCGATGGCCGCAGCAAATTAATTAAGGTAAATACTCATTATTGACCATAACTATTTTCACCACTTATTCCAAATGTTCAGTTGGTAACAAGCAAATTGCCGCAAATGCGACTAACCTGCAAACGCGCTTCATGTTGTACTTCTCACAGTTGTCGCATCGGGAGACAACTGTCGCAAAATTGTTCCATGTTATTCACGCTTTTTATTCGACAAAAGTGAGTTTCGTATTCGAATTGATACCGAAAATGTTGCGTACGACGTGAAGTATCGTTGTAACATATCAATTAGAGAACGCAATCATAGTTAACCACGTGATCGCAAATTTGTTGTTCATTTTCACAGGATTCTCGGATGCCAAGCATTGTTACACAGCCTATCAGTTGCAAAGCGATGAAATCGAAATCAATTATGCAATGTGTATCAGATATCAGATTGTAGCTTATCAATTGACAAGTGTGATCGCGTTTTCGCATAATTCACGTCGATCGTAAAGCGGACGGAGAGGATGAATGGTTGATCGTTATGGCAAATTAATTAAGGTAAGTGATACTAATTAGCCGTTAGTGTGTGATATTTCAGTAGAAATGCAAAATGTAGCCGCCAATTCAAAATTAAACGATCCAGCGTTATTAGTCGAAAATGAACAACAGTGTAATAACATGGACGATCATTACAGCGCGTTAATTGGTGTGCGCGTAATTAACCGCATTTTCTCGGTCACATGATGGTATGGTTTAGTCTCGGGGTTATGCCGAGGTCGGTGATGTCAATCGGGGTAATCCTTGCCATGATTCTTGTAATAATACCTGTTGTATTGATTGTGAACATGTTTCATTGATAACATATAATCGATAAATAAACCATTCATAACATATAACAATTAATTATTGTTTCACTGATAAAATATAATAATATTATATAATATTTTACAATATAATTTTGAATTGTAGAATTGTAGAATTGTGTTAATGTATATGAAATTGATAATAATATATTTTTTAAGATGCGGTATATATATATTGAAATAAAAAAAGTAATTTTGCTCATTAAAAAACCATTTCAAAAAAACACGTGAAACCTGGATGACTAATTACATATTGATTGTTATTGCAGACCGTTAACCTCAAACATGCTGAAAACAATACGACGAGTACGAGAGAGTCCGCTCATGTACACGATTGCAATTAAACGCGGTTTTCGTTCGCATCTACGTGGCTTGATGGACTTGAGGTTAAAGCATTTCAAGCAGAAATTGACGCCGATGGAGCAGTTGATGGAGGGAGTTTTACTGCGATGCAATGTTCGGTGAGTAATTTTATTCAATTTATTTTGTTATTTGCGACGAGTTGGTATTGTCTGATAAAATTGCGATATTTCAAATCCCAGACTCTAATCCGCTTTATATCACCGCAACTGAGCATATTGAATCGATATTAATGGAATAAGCAAAATAAAAACCTTATTCGTATATTTATTGAAATTAATTCTAACGAGTGAAATCGTTGCAAGATAAAAAAGAAAACGGCGGGTGTTTGTCATATATTTTAATTAGTTTCAAAGAGAGAGAGACACTAAAAAAAAAAAGAGATGTGACAAGTATAATTTTCTTTATTTCATTACCAACAGTATTCTTACATCATGCCGAAACAATGTATAGTATCTATATCGTAATATATTTATGTAATCGTTAATTATTATAATAGCGGTAAAGAGTCTGTAGTAGGCGAGTCTGTAGATGTGTGAATAATTTTACTCGATAATTCGAATTCGCTTCTGGTGCGTCACTTACAATTGTGGTGAGATGCGTTACTCGCGTCATTGAACATTTTACATCGAAAATTTCGATGCAACAAATTTTAACGGTTACTTTGACCAATTATAACCTAATAATTGCAACAAACATTCCACATTCAACACGTTTACCGTCAGTCATGCGCGATGTAAAGTAATTTAATCCATTCGATTTTCTACCAAATTAAATCAGATATGTGCGTACCACAAACATTTTGATATCGAGAAATCAAGTTAATTAAATTTTTTTGCATTATAGCTTAATATACTCTCACTACATATTATCACACTATACTCTCTAAATTGATTACGATAGGCTCATTTAGCTTTTGATTTTTGTGAAAGAGTCTCAAGTACACAGAACACAGATCGTTATAGTAAACTACGTGTTTAGAGTGATTAGCAGTCAATCTTATTGCGCAGTGTCTAGATTGTCGTCAGATCTCGCCGGAAACGAATTCGGATCTATCGATTTCTCCCCCCCCCTCCCCCTCCCCCCAAGTCTCCTTCGACTGTACTCTTTGTGCCTTAAATTTCCTTCTACTTCGAGGCATAGCGACTACCGATACTACGACGAGAAAACAATTCCTTTTGCCATCACGGGGGACCCGATTAGTTCGAAGAGTCCCCGATTAATAACGTCCCGGACAGCGCGGAACGACGCCAAGTTTTTCGACCGCTCTTTCCCTGGATCTCGTTCTCTCCCGCGAATCTCTCCTTGGAACTACTCCCAAACAATTTCTCACGGACGTTTTATCCCCGAAACGAACATTTCGTTTTCCCGGCGTGCTCGGAACACAAGCGTTCAATCGACGTATACGACGTATATCGAAATTTGCGATTTCCATTAAAGTTAACAGCGGCAAAAAGTGTCAAACGAGAGTACGAAAAATAGAGAAGTAGCGTTCTCTTTCTCCAAATTATTGGACGATAATCGCCGCCGAGGTCGGCTCGGCGAGCGCGAAAAGTTAGAACACGCGAGATGGTCCTTCCACGGCTTGGAAGTTTGTCAGAAAGCTTGGTCGGAATTAGACATTCAGTTCTTCAGTTATTTAGGCGAGCGTGGAGCTACAGAAGGAATCATCACAGAAAAGAACATTCGATCGAGAGACGGCGAGTCGCGCCGTCGCGTTTTCAGCGCGGTGATTCCGTCGCGACGTGTGCGATACTCGCGCGACCCCCGCGCTGTCCGCTTCGCAGTGTGCAGTGTGAAGTGTTGCTGCTTCCTCAGCAATGATATGCATAGAAGAGCGAGGCGGGAAGCCAGAGCAGGCTGGATCCGTAAAGCCGCGTCGCCGCGTCGACCCCGTTTCTGCCGGGTCGTTTGCGCTTCGGTTTCTTCGGCTTGGGGCGTCGATTGCGCGAGTAGATCGCATTGGTGGCATTAGTAGGCGACTCGATATTGCAGTAACTCAGGTCGCAGCAGCTTATGCAGACCTGAAACGAAATAACCGAATTTATTTCACCCGGCTTCGTCGGTCTTTCTCTTCTTATTTTTTTTTTTTTGTTTCGCTAGTCTTTCTGTTGTTTCAATTTTTTTGGTCTTTTTTTTTTTGCTATTGATTTCATTGTTTGAGAAACCGCTCCCGGGTACACGACAAAATTCGCTATTTCGCACCTGCTGCGTATCCACGGGAATGCAGCCGACTGACGATGGTCCACATTCCTCGCTGCTGGCGCAACTCTTGCTTACCTGGAATGAGAGGGAGTATGAATGGACGCGGTGACAGAGAAACGTCGGAATTTTGCGCCGCGCGACTCATGGAATTCGAGAAAAATAACGAGCGAATATTTTTCAAATGGTTGGCGTGACGGAGTGCGTCCGTGAGACATTAATTCTAATTAGAAAGTTGAAAGGAACTTATTAATGAAATGGTTAGTTTTGTCATCGTTAATGCGGGACATTAAATTATCGCGCATTATCTTCGTCAAGTGTCGGGGAGAACGCAGAAAGTTCCATCAAAGTTCATCCGTTGGTACATCGACTGGACTCGAGAAGCGCTTAAGCTCGAGAGGGCCATCCATCTCGACGTCCAGGCCCGAATCCGTTCGCGTAACTCCGTTCATTAATAGCACGAAAATCGATTATCCCGCTAATGTAAGTCAATTAGCCAAGTACGATAACCTTTAATTGATTTTATCTGACCGTGCGTGCACCATCGCTCGACGGTAATGAAATTTACTCCGATCGCACAGAGAGTCCGATGGTTTGTTATTATTGGTCTGTATTTTTTTCCCGCTGTTTGCGTTACTGTCCCATTTCGAGAGTGGCATTGTCTCTGACAAGGCAATGTTCACACAAACTGACACTTTTCTATTTGTCAAATATCGCTAGGATGTGAAAAGTTCTACCAACCGTTTGCGTGAACGTTAAAATAGATTGCAAGAAAATATTTATAAAAATTCGTAAGCAATTTCAGGTTTTAAAAGATCTGCCTTTGCAGAGGAAATCAATATACGGCTATATGAAGAGCCCTTTATATTGTAGAACTTTTTTTTGAAACGCTTTTCGTGTTTCGGCGATATTCGACTTTAGAATGAAATATGTCGAGTTAGGGGTCGAGAGAGGTTGCTATCCCCTAGTTTACGATAAAGGATATAAAAACGCGGGGGTTGACTTATTTTCGAGCTACTCGACAATATATGAAAAATTTATGAAAATTCGAGAGCGACGGAGTTATGAACGTATCCTCGCAGATTGGATCGTTGGCGGAACAAGTAGGAAAAAAAGTATGCTTGCCAAGACGCTGTTCCCTCGGCTGTCTAGAATGTGCAGCGATCGACAGAAATCACGGCCACCCGCCGGACACGGAGTATCTATCGCCCATTCGTTGCACATCTGCAAGCATAGAAATAGGAACATCCTCGATGTAAAGTTCTTATATAAAAATCAGATTTCTTATATTGCCAATATCGACCGCATATTTCTCGATAGAAGAGAAAAATGAAAAATATAAGAATTTCATCCTGATGACGTCAACATGAAGAATATAACCGTGAATATATAAAATTCAATTTTTATTCCTCCTTTTTTGCGAAACGTTTGAGTTATCGAAAATAAATATTTCTTTACATTATAAAGAATTATTTAGTGGAAAATCGGTTTACATTGTATCGGTTTGTTCTTCCAAAACTCTGTCAATATCCAACAAACGTTCATAAATTAATGGCCGGTGCAGTAAGCTGCCCCGCATTTCCACAGAAGAAAAAGACGAAAAGAGGAAAGGGGTCGGAGATAAGACCGTTATTGCGAAAGAGAAGAAGCGGAACGCAATAAAGAGAGTTTAGAATAAACCGAAATCGATGGCGGAACGATCTACAGAGTTCTACGAAATTGCGGCTGGACCCGGCGCGATAGAGCCATTACGGGACTCTTAAGGGAGCGTTTAATGGAGCCGTCGATACCTGGTTATCGCTGACGTTGACGCAAGTGTAGCACGTTAGACCTGCAACAGAGAGAATGGGGCTGAGTAAGTGCGTCACTGGTATAATCGAGATGGAACGGGGTGAAGATGTGAGCGTTAACTCTTAATTACACGGCCATGTTAAGAGAGAAACCGAAAATTCTATTTGACGAGATAGAGAATTAAAGGGAAACACACGCTGAAGGAATTAAATAAGTTTAGCCGTCTAGACATCCAAAAGTTAACAAGCCCGGTTTGCTAAGTTTAAACAAGACGACTTTAGCTGGAAAGGACTTCGCGACTACTTCGCCGAAACAGTATTCCGGTAACAATGCGTCTCGCACGAAACTCGAATTCGTTAATGCGAAGTTACGACGTGATTTTATCACAGCGATAGGAGGAAGAGCACTTGCGAGAGAGAGCGAACAACGCGTTGTACACGAAGAGTACGAGGAGTGTTACTGGCGGGAAAGATTGTGGTACATGTGCGAAGTTGGTAGAAAGGATAAGCGGCAGTTCGGAGATTAGTGGCACTCGATTGCAGGATCGGCGAGCCGGGATAAACTCGAGTTAGCCGAGTAAATCATGGTTTTCGTTCGACTCTTTTCCCCTCTTTCTCTACCCCCCTCCCTCCCCCGCTACCACCCCCTCGCACGCTCTTCTTTCACCGGTTCTCTATCTCTATTCTCCACTGAACGTTTCCGTTCATTTTTCGACGGTCCAGCGCCGATACCCACGATAGATGTCTTCCTCGTCCGTGCTGACGCCCTTCAGGCTCTCCCGCCGCTTCGCCTCCTCCTTTCCGTTTCCGTTTCCGTTTCCGGAGAGGACGTTTCTGCCGCAAGTTTCCGCAGCCAGAAGCAGCCCGACCATCATCCACGTGATCATTCCTCACATCTCTGGAACGACAGAAATGGGGTCGCGCGCATTACGTAAGTGACCTCGAAAGGACGTTAGAGAACGCCAATTACTCGAAGGACGAGAGGCATTAGAGAGCTAGTCGACGGGAGAGAAGCGCCCGGACGCGAATTTTAATTCTGATCGATCGCGCCACGACGCGAGTGTCGCGTCCCTCGGGAGAGAGGTGGCAAAGTGGCTTTACAGTCGCGAACGCCCGTATTTTCATCGCACGTTTGGCGTGAAATGTGGCTGTCTGATCCCTCTCTTCGCAGTTAACATTGAACACGATCTTTATATCGGACGAATAAAACTGGAAATTGAATGGCCACATTTAACGCTAAATAATGTAATAGAGGGAAAAAATATATACCAAGTGTAAATTTAATACGTTAATAAGTGACACAGAGAGTTTGTACATAAATATAATTTAATTAGTTCTTAACTTTTTAAAAATATTACATCTCTCGCGAAGCTTTTAATTCCGTGTCCCGAATAAATGTAAAACTGTAGAACGTGAAAATCGTGAAAATGTTCTTCTGTGAGAGGAAACTCGACGGTCGGTTTGACATTCGGACTAGGAATTGCGAGAGGGGCGAGACGTACCGTCGAATACGGCTGATTTAAAGCGTCGTCTCGTCTCGACGAGAGAGAGACGAGAGAGAGAGAGAGAGAGAGAGAATCTACCCGTTTGCGTACGTGTCGGCCGACGGATAGTCTGTCTCGGGCGGATGTACATACCGGTACCGGGACGTCGATCAGTACCCGATTCTAGGGCACGGGCGACCTATCGGCCGACGTCAGTTCCGTGCGTCGTATTAGGGTCTCGACGAGTCAATGGATCGAACGGTGGACCTTTCGAGACAGATAAGGTCGTGTCGTGGCTTTCCCTCTCCCTCTCCCCGGGAGCGGGCCCGCCGCAAGAAACGCTTTCGCGATGACAGGCACCCTCTAATCGAAGTAATTAATTCGGAACTGCATGATCAGGGTCTGACGACCACTTTCCAATTTCAATGTAATCAGCGAACTTTGTTGTAACTTGGAAATCATTGCTTTCTGTCGCGAGAGAGACGGCGCTTGATATGAACGAGGGAATTAAGTTTGTACAATGAAGCTGCCGTTTATTGTTATTATATGAATGTAATGCCTGTTATCCTATTATCTTTTTCAAACAACTTAATTTGAAATGCATACAGACGTAGAGCCCTATTCGTATTAATAATACAGCACTGTGATAATCTCTCTCTCAAAGAGGCACGAAGATTAAATGAGAGCTCGGATAGAACCGCTAAAATGCAAATTATGGCTTTTTGTTGATAGAAACTTTAGAAATGACGGTAATTACGTTTCATAAGATAGACCGTGAAATGTAAAACTCCCAGCAATGTGTATAATCATTGCCAGTTTATGCCAGCTTAAGCTTGATCACTCCATGCTTGTATTTGAATTCATTCTCGTAATAGGGCTTACGTTTCACGCTCTCTTGGCCCAGTGATGTCCCCTATATCCTTGCTACTTCCACTTCTGAATACTCTTGAGTTTGAACTCTCTTAACGGACTTGTTAATTATACACTTACTAACTTTGCTTTTATCCGTGCTCCACTTATTCGTGAAGTTTGGCGCTCGGCGATGTATATAATGCGCTGTATTTTTCTTCTTCCTTCGTTTCGTGACATCACGAAGGAATATAACTTTGTGGCAAAATGGCGTTTTTATGTGCATCGTTCCGAGAACCCGCCTGAGTTTATCTTTTCCCGACGTTCCTTCGCTCCGTTTTAATTAGTTCGAGTAGCTGATGGAAAATTGTGCAAAGTGCGCAAGGTGGATTCCGTGCAATATGCAATACACTTGATTCATTTAATACGCGGTACAGTTTAATTAGAAATCATAAGCTATTCAACATCCTGTTTGCTCAAAGTAATACCGTCGGAATAATGAGGGATTTATATTTGCTTTAATGGCGCCTTCAATTTCAAACCAGCAGCTTTCGGGACGCTCGTCTCTTACTGCTCAATCTGGAAGTTTAATTATTCAGAATAGACGGAAGTGACGGATATTTCGCGAAGCTCTTTGAAGCCATAATTTGGATGCGGCTTTGTAAATATATACAGACTCGTCGGTTGATGCATTTCCGTGCAGCGCCTTGCATAAGTTTTCGTCGTTTATGCAAAATAACTATGCATCAAGATAAGAAAACCATTTTATGTAAAATGACTCGCGTGGAAATACACGTCACGAAACACCTGTCGCGCGTAAAACTTTTTCCCGAACTTGCGGCGCAGCACGGTGGCGACAAAGCCCGGCCATTTTTTGGCCACGTCTAACAATGCGAATACTTTTCCTCGTTTATATCGACATATAATGGCGCTGTTTCGCCCGACGTGCATCCCTCACGTCATCATTTTTACTATTCTGTGATTTACTTCGTATAAATTCAATAACACATTTCATGTAAATGAGACATTGTTTGGAATCAAAATAATTATTCCCATTCGAAATAAATTGCCCATAGAATTTCATCATGAAATTTCTGATGATCAGGCGCTAATAATTTCAGCTAGGCTCATAAACGGGACGTTGATCGAGCAGTTATGTATATCGTCGCGCTACGCGCGTCTGGCTTTTGATCGAGTATAAACGCATTTGGCGTATCGGATTACGAAGGATGCCCTATCAATTCTAGGAAGCGTAGCTTCTGTGCGCGTAGTACCAAACGGCTTAAAACTCATAATACTGCGCATTATAATCCGCTAAATCATCGGGGAATAAATAAATCGGAAGCAGGAATAAATAAAAGCAATCTCGTGTTAATCCCGTTACACAGTTACGCCCATTGACTTCCGAGCTGTCGAGCAAATCCCTATAGTATAATCATCATGTACATTTAATTACCGACAATACCAATTAAAATAGACCAATCAACGAAATTACCGATGACGTTTCATCTCATTTCACGCGAAAGCCATGATAGGAAATATTTTTTTTATCGCAAAAACAAATACCACGTTAATTTCACATCAATCATAGTACCTTCTGTGTCCTCGAATTCCGATTAACTTAAAGAGGAACTGCTCTCCAAAAGGCATTTTGTAAAAAAATGCTTTGAGGAATAATTGAAAGATATCGTGAGCAAATAATTCGAAAAGATCTGCATAATATTAATATAAAATGATAACAATAATGCGCGACATGTGCGACGAATTCTAATTGCCAAGCATATCTGCGGAAAATCCTCGGTTAATGCCAAACGGTTTTACGTGAAAATTTTTATTTGGAAAAATTGAAGAACAGAGCTGAAATGATTTTAATCAAATATGTATGATTTGTATTAAATGTAATTTCCAATGAAATTAGAGATGACGTTTTTGTACAAAATGGACATTTCCGGTGCGACAGCATAATACAATCGGAACGAACGGGGCGGTTTTGATGGTCGTCGAATAAATGAATGTGGTGGAAGTTTTGTGTGCAAGAAACACGAGAAGAGGAGTCGGGCGAAAATGTAATTACCGCGTCGATAATGCAAGAACGGTATTTAAATTATTCATCGATTAAGCGCGACAAGCAAAGCCGCTTGGACACGATCGGATTTTACGATTATACGACCAACTAAAGTTATATCCGCACTATATTCGCTTCCTCTATTAACGTAAGGGAGGAGTAATACCCGGCGTACATTTTCAGTGTGTTTTCTAAACATCCGTACCGGTGGGTCCGGATAATTGCGAACTCACGAGCCACTTCGTCTAAAGTTACCACCGCAAGCCCGGATGCGAGTGGATAGGCTCAATGAATAGATTTATGTCGCGCTACAAATACGCCGGAAATTGAAGAAAAACAGATCGATGGTAATCCCGTGTTAAGTTTTGTGCGCTTTTAGCGTGTCGTGATAATATTACGTTAGGTGTGCGGTTTTCCGCCGGGCAGTGTGAGCGCTAAACGCTGCCCGAGAGGTCCTCTTTAATTTGGAACCGTCACAAAATCAGGGTAAATTTCCACATGTAGTTTCAACGTCCGAATGTAGCCCTTGACACATTTATACGAGTGTAATCTGACAGCGGATATGACTTTATTGTAAGATACGCGTCATTTCGGTATCTTTTATGTCATATTTTATTTACCTTTGTGCATTTCGTGTCTGTTTTAGGATGGCAGCAAAGCTCGACGAGCGGACTTCTTTCGGACTGATTTCGGTGCGCACCGGCAAAGGACAAAGGAGTAAGTCACAAAGCGTCATGTTTATATGTTTGTGTTGGCGAATCTCGCACCGGCGCGCACGTCACCGCGAATTCGTCAAAGCGATTCACCATCCACTGTTTATCCGTGTGGCTATTAGCGCGCGGCGTTTCTATCTCTGAAACGAAAACGACCGACGTTGCAATTCACCAAAAGACTTTCCGAGGTATACCGCGTTCCGGGTCAAGAGTCGACCAGATTTCTCCTGTTATTTATTCGATGAGAGTTGGAGACGTTCCGCCGAGTTTCGTGGTAATCCTGGTCGGGCTGGTGCCATGGAGGCACTCGAGATGAGGGTAAAACGAGGGTGGAATGAGGGTTAAAGCGCGGGCTCGGACTGGCGAACGCTACGGTACGCTACGGTACGCTACGGCGGTACGATAAACATAATATATTTCCGACCGAAAGATATATATACCAGAGAAATATGCTTACTGCGCACAAACGTACAAATTGTATAAATCGCCCTTTATGAAGGAGAAATAAATTTTTTCCTTTATATCTCTTCAGTCAGTGACGTTCTCCTCTCAAAAATTCAACATATATTTTTTTTCCCCCCTTTTTCGTAGAACGAGGTTTTATTATTATTATTCTATATCACGGCGTGTTGAATTATTGATTTATCAATGCAACTACGACTGTATCAGCTGAATGGTCATAATAATTTTTGACGTTTTTACATGATAGCCAATTAATTGAAAACAACAATTCTCCTGCCAAACTTTCCCAATAATTGGCGATCGGCTCTCAAAAAGCGTAGCAAACATTAAAAGCGAAGCAATTAAGGTAACGAGATCTCCTTCTGCGGAAATTCCGGATTTAAAAGATTTTGAAGATAATGCACGATGTTGCAAAACCGCGATTCGTTTTTAATCCGCTTTGAAAATGTGCGAAAGTGAAGGCAGAGCGGACGGATGGAGCGCGGATGGTGAAGTAAAAGCCGAAAGTGTGAGAGGTCGCTCTGGTAACGTGGAAATGCTCGTACTAGATGGAAAGGGGCATTTCACAAGGTGGAAAAGTATATACGGTCGGCGGGTGAGGACGCGTTGCTTTATTAAATATGGACGCTCACGAACCGTGCAGGGTACGCCGCGGGGGCCCCGACCGTGTCCGTACACACGTCCCTATCTGTGTGTGGATGAGAGTAGCAAGGGTGAAACGTGACGGAACGTATCCTTCCTTCCTTCCGAATCCCGTAATTCGCACGGTGGAGAAATTTGTACGTCGCCTCCCCGGTTTTATCGTGTTTCTTACACGGCCACTCATCTCCGTAAGTGCTCTACGGTGGTGCGCGAGGGTTGACGGAGGGACAGAGGGACGTCCAGAGCGGGTCGATGATAAAGCTGCCATCCCTCCCACCCGTTGCATCCTCCTCTCTTTCCCTTCGATTCTTGCCGAAGACCGCGATAGTTTCGGAAAGAACCGCTTTCCGAGTAACCACTCGAGTAACTACAGCGAAATCATGTTAGAACGCGAACTCTCCGTCGAACCTTAAAATTAAATTTGTCATACTTGATTTTCGTTATATCGAATTTCCCGTCTATGTTGTTATAGACGGTGACCGGGAATTCAATCGAAGCTCGTAATAAGGAAAATTTCATCCCTCCGCCGTTTCTCAAGTCTCCGGCACAGTGGCGGAAGTAGTGTACGTAGCACACGAACGAACATTGGATCGTTGACGAGGGAAACCGTTGTATCGTTAGTCGAACATTCCAAGATCTTTTTGTATTCCTTCATTACTCGAATGGCCTTCGGGCATCTCGGGAACGCGCAACGCTCGTTCTTTTGCGAATCTATCCTAAACAATCGTTCAAGAATTCGAAAGCGGAGCGCACGGAACGCGCGTGCTGATTGCACGATGCGATCGCGGCTCGCGAACGGGGAAATGGAGCGCTGTAAATTGTGTGTGAACAGCAATTCAGCTCTAAAATGCCGGAAATGTAGTCGATTTATTTGAGAAAAATACCCGCGCATCGCTACAATCTAACCTTGCCTGCTTACCAACACATTTTCGGCGAAAGATATTTCATTAAAAATGCGGCATTAGTAAATTTTTATATTTATTTAAAATTGCCTCTTGTACTAATTTAGATAAATTGAAAAAAATATTCTTTTCAAATACGTGCAACCGTGTGCTTGAAGCTCTCGACGCGATTAAGAGAAACTAAAAGCTGCGATTACAGCTTTTACAAAGATCCGGAAACTTTACCGCACTAAACTAAAGCTGTGATCTTCTCGAGTTTGATGGTACGTGTGTCGGAATTAACTTTTCTCTTTACACTTAAAACAAAAGTCTCTCAGGATAGAACACTCTCGGGTTTCAATAGATTGAAGTCACGTGAATTAGTTTGAACTGAAATAAACGCAATGGGATTATTTGTCTACTTCTTTTCCATCTTTTTTTATCGCTTTCTTGTACGTTTCTATTATTATTTTTTTCTTGCTCCGCAAACGTGAAGAATAAAGAACTAAACGCGCTAAGAACTACAAACGAGGCGTACTATCGATTCTCAATGCTGTCGCTTCTTTGAACGAGACCACACAAAAGGTGGAAGAATCAAAATGCTAAAGTGCTTCGTGCTTCGATCGGTCGATAACGCCTTCGTCCGAAAAATAAGGAAACTTACGGCAGAATAAACTGTGTTCCGCTAAAAAAAACATAGGATATAATAGAAAACCTCATACTGGAAAAATAAATTTTCTAATATATTTGTACAGATCTTGATAAAAACGTGCTTCTCGACTTTTTACCAAAGTCACATAAAGAACAGTGCAGAGCAAGTCGGTAATAAAATTCGAAACCAATCCTCGGCTGAGTTCGCGATAACTCTGAAAGAGAACAAGGCGATAAATTATATTTCATGGCTAGTCAAATATAATGAATAAAGATGTACGTCGTGAGAGAGCGCACAGGTTAATTTACTACCGACGAGCGTTTCGAGTGTACCTTTTCAAAGTCATTCTTTATATTTTTATGGAAACAATGTCCGAGTGTCATCGTACAGCTAACGACGGTAATTATCGATCGGCGTACCTGCGGCGCTATTCCGCGTCGGTTGAAAGAATAAAGAATCGACGTCGACCTGCGCCCGTTTGTGTCCTTTGTTAAGTCAGGAGCAACTTGCAAAAAGCGCGATCGTCGATAAAAGATTAATGATCGTAATTATGAACTTGGGGATACTGTAAATTAAATGAAAAGCCGGGCGCCGACAGGGCAAATATCTGTTATGCCGAAAGTAATTTACAGAGTGCACAGATTCGCCGCTTGGTAGCTACTTTTACGGTGCTCGGCCATCGCAACACCATCGCCGCAGCACGATACTTAGGACGGTATCAGCGCGCGCGACGCTAAGCTGCAGTTTGCGCGGAGTGAAACGAAGCGATAATTATCGGAAAAAGTTCCGATCGTTCGGATTTGGGGGAAAAAGGGACGAGCAGTAATGGGCGCAACGTTACAGCCGCCCACGATCGCTGGTGGGATATCGTGGCGGCGGTAGCGGCGGCGGCGGCGGCGGCGGTGCCTGAAACCCACTTCCAGTTTAACGCGATTGTGCAAAATCAATTACCGCGGAGTTCGGCGTAATATACGAGCGAAGTTTACCGCCGAAAGTGTCCTCCTCGCCCGGCACAGCGGCATCGGCCGAAGTTGTCGTGCCCGGCACGATCCCAACCCTCGATCCTCGGGACCTTAACTCACGAAATTATAACCGGCGGCGCGTCCCGCTCGCAGATTCGCTCCGGACCGCTGCGAAACAGTCGTGGAAACGGTCGCGTGAAAGCAGCCGCGCCGGCGACTACGCGATTTCCGTGGCGGCGAACCCCGTAAGTTTCTATCGTTAAGGCTTGGCGCACCCGCAAATTCCCTTTATTGCGGCACTTGGCCGATACGCGCCATCGGACTACGGGGACGCGGAACAAACCAGGGCAAACGACCCTGGTTAGCCCCGCTCTAAACGAGGTGTATAACCGAACCGCGATGCCGATGCGATTTTCAGACGACCGATTTTAGCAACGGCGATCTTCGCCTTTCTATCCGTACCGTTCGATTAATTCCAAAAATTGGATAAACGGTAACGTCGTTGTGCCGTTGTGCGCGGTTATCGAGGATATAATGGAGATCCTTCGCGCGCTCTCGCCCATGCCCTCCGGATATCGCGGGATCTCATATAACTCGAATGTAAAAGCCCGGACAGAGGGATGAGCGGTGAGCGCGAAGCACACAACGGCCGTAACGCCGACCGAAGGGATGGCAATCCATTTCGTAATTTAATTACCGGGCTGTTACAAATTCGCTTTCTCTCCGGCGATCTTTTTTTTTGGCAGTCCGCGTGTATCGTACATAAAGAGTGATCCCTTTTACGAGCCAAGATTTGAACTTTCACGACGGGCGGATTTATAGAGCTATAAGAGAGCGATACCGATGCAAAAAAAAAGCGATTTTCGCTGCCGAAGTGAAATAATCTCTTTGTCGAACGAACGCCCACGATTGTTCTCATCTCAATTTTAAACCCCTCGGTAGATTATAAAAAAATTGGAGATGTGCTGTGCCGGAGGAATGAACCGTAATCCACTTCGGCTTTTCATTACAAGCCTGTTAAAACCTCGCTTTTGCACTCCGCCCTCGAGATTCTTTTGCTAGGTGCGATATATCGTATTCACATGCAAAATTTAAAGTCGGCAAGGTGTAGTGCAGTATGCAATAGAGCACTTTATATATATAAAATTTAGATTTTTTTATAATTAACCGTGGTTTAATTAACGATTTGATTATGAAGAAATATGGTTTTCCCATCAGTCTCGTCTTTGTTCTGCTAAATTAAAATTTTTGCTCGTTGAACACAAACGCACAATATTATTATTACTTTGAAAATATTCTTTCGCTGAAAAAAAATTCAAATTGTAGTTGTACAATAGTGGAGCGTCTGGCGTTCTATTTAATTTTAAAATTTAGTCGAGGATCTAATAAAAGTTGTTTTTATTCGGTCTAACGGTCTTCTTTTCTTTAAAACCCGATAAACACGATATAAGAGACTGATCTTTTTTATAGAAATATTCTTCGTATAATGAATTTATGCGTTGATAATAACTGTACTTGCAAAGAGGTGTAATTTCCATATCTATATCGTTATTATTCTGTCGATTTAAAAACGTTTATTTATCGAATACGGACTAAATCGTTGTCATTCACGTATTGTCTCCTGTTCATAAAAGATTGGAAACGCCGTCCTGTCCTGGTGGAGTGCAATCCATTTTGGAATTTAATTACGAGTCTGTTACAACTTCGCTTTCGCTCTGCACCAAACTTTTTTTTTTTTGGCGTATTGCGTGTATTTTTGCGAGTAAAGTTTGAATTTTTATAACCAGTCACGAGTCACGGGCAACAATATCAGCGAAAGATGAGATTTTAATATCCATATCGCGATTGTCGCGTAAAGCAAAAATTATTATTTTTTTTTTAATTGAAAAACGCGCTCAATTTATGCCGCTTTTTATTTTGAATTTTTTATTGTTTATAAAAGATTAAGAGTGCTCCCTGTATGCGTGAGCGATCCATTACATAATTTAATTATAAATTACTGGTTCGCTTTAAAAGGCTTTTGTTGCCCCCTTTAATGGAACCTGTAAATAAATGAGCCAAGTTTCTCGTGATATTTTGCTGTACGCGCGACTGCAGCGTTCTTGCCGACCGAAAATCCTTCGCTCGTCGTCCGGAGCATATGTCGTCTTGAATCACCGCTATTCTTCCTTTGTCACTTTTCTGTTACTTGTACAAAGGATTGAAAATACCATTCTGCGGCCGCGCACGACATCGCTAAAGCCGAGGAAAATTTATCGCGACTACAAGTCGGAGGCCGCACTACGGCCATCCCCCTCGGTGCGGGGGGGTGTTACTTTATTTCACCCCCGCGATGTCATTGCTGTATCCATGTGTGCGAGCACGCGCGCGCGCGCTCGTGCTCGTGTAGGTTGGTTCCTAGACACGTTTCGAACACGTGTAGACCCACGGGGCGAACGTCGCGACCACGGAGTCCTCCATAAATTCGGCCGTGGGATTTCGCCGAGCTCGAGGAAAAGGGATCGGTGCTCTTACCGACGGTGGCCTTAGCAAAATTATGTTATTTGATTTGGAGGACTGATAGCCGGTTCGGGGGAAAATCGGACGCGTCGCCGCGCCGGCCGTAAGCCAATGGAGTAAATTAAGTGAGCGGCGAGAAGCGAGAGGACGAGCGCGCGATAGTTGTGGTTGTTTCGGAGGCTTTCCCCTCCGCTGATAATCCCGCCTGGGAAAATGGGAAAGAAAAACGACGAGTTTGCGGAGCCGATAATTCGAGCACGGTAGTAGATACCGCGGTAGAAGGCACGGAGGAAACTACGGGGAAGAAGAGCCCGGAGAAGGGCGTCGATATCATCTCGAGAACGTCTTACCCACGCTTTTAATTGATTACGGAAATAGAGTTCCGCCCTCCCTCGCGTGTCCCGCGCCTGTATTTGTATAGAGAACGAAGGGGGCAAGGTAAATTACTTTCTCAATTTCGGAAGTTCGTCGACTGTGCGATATAATTTTTTTCTTTTGCGCGCGGATCTTTCCCTTCTCTCGTAACTTTTATAATCATCAAGAATCTCGTTTACACACATTCAATCGGTTGACTGAAGAGGAAAAAAAGAAGAGAAAGAAATGCGGATTTGTCTTTTGCAATTTATTTTCAAAGGATAAAACTTGCCGGACGAACTTTCGAATAACTTACGGTCGTCTCCGATAAAATATGCTTTCCAGAGATGAAAAATGCGCGCGGAAACCCCCTCCGGGTCGTCTTCCTCTCCCCGGAACGTCCGAAAGTTTTTATTTCCTTATGAGCTTTTTACCGACGTCGCTACCAGGTCGGCGACGTCGTCTTCCGGAACAACGACGCCGTTGCTCCGTGTTTGATCGGACGGAAAAGAACAAAAGTAGTAACGTGAAAACGTCTCGCGGAATCCCGCTTTACGATCGTGTCAGCAATTTTGCCATCGATGCGAAACCGCGGAAATACACCGTACAAACGGCCGCGTGACGTGATCGTCAAAGTACCACGTCAGAGAAACTGGGCTGAGCGACGGAAAGGGGCGAGCGCGAGAGGGCGGGCGTCGGTGATTGCCTTTGACACGAGCAATAAAGTAACGCTGTACGCCTCGCGGCGCGGCGAGCCCCTTTCTGCAACTCGCGTCTGGATCTCGTCATCACCTCCTACGCGCGGGAGGATGGGTGGAACAGAGAGAGAGAGAGAGAGAGCTGTGCTTTAACCGCGTCTGTGCACACGTTAATATAATGCAGCGGTACAGCGCGCAACTTACCGCGCCGAAAACACACGCACATACGCTCCGCTCGCGCTCTCTCTCGTTCGTTTGTTCGCCGCGCACGGCGAACCAGCCAAACAGCCGCCTCGACTATTATTCCGGGGATATAACTACGGTGCTAATCCGACACGACTGCAATTTTAGGATCGCCTTTTGTAAACTGATAATTAGCCGATAATCTCTTTCCGGGCGAACTTTGGCCACGGTTTGGTGGCCACTTAATTGTGCGCTCTGCTATTTGTAACTCGCGTTTCCGACCCTTTACATCTTTGCAGTCTCGTCCGCTCTTCTCACTCTCCATCATCTCACTCCACCCTCGCTCAACACTCTATTCACGGCTAACCTTTGTTTTCGCTCGCCGAGCGAGTTGGTAGAATCCGTGGAGTTATTGCCGCGTCGTTGCTTGAATAAATATTTCGAATTTCCCATTTGTAAGTCGGTGTCTTAGTGTAAAATATTTCCAACTGACTTTACACGTCTCCCTCCCCTTCCCCCCCCCCCCCCCGCGTACGTAAACATATAACTATTATCCGGTGTTGTTTAATTTTCCTGTGCGTGCAAAACACACGCTTCGGCGTGGATCCCGCTAGCCGCACGAGGGAAGAAGCACTTATCTCACGGCGTGGATTTTGCCCTCGTTCTTTTTTGCCCGGAGCACGTAGAGGCCCCGCAGAAAGAGCGTAGTTACTCTACCCTTATATAAATGCTAATATAAATGCTGTATATTGCCCCCTCCTGGTCGCGGACGATGTATCTTTGGCAAAATTGCAGCTCCGCTTCGTGCCCTCTGCGCTCTCGCGAAGTCTCACATAAAAAAATTTCCGCAAAAAATTTGCGTGCGGGGAATTTGTCGTTGCCGTCTCTAATGATAAGTCGGTGATATATCGGACAGAGTCCAATTTCCGTGCAACGTTCCGGTAATACATGCCTCGAAAAATGTTGGTATCGTCCCCCCCCCCCTCCCCCTTTTCGTTTCTGCCGAGCGTTTCACGCTCGATACGAATGGTCCTGACGACCATGACGACGGCAACGCTGATTCCGGGATGACGCTGAAAAATATGTTGACTCGTCCTGAACTATGCGGAATGCGCTCCGTTCTCGTCGCCTTTAACCCGCGTCTTTTCGCTCGTTCGCTTCTGCTCGCGACACCTCTCTCTTCCGCCGGATCTCGCTTCGTTCGGATTTCGCTGCCGAGCCACCCGCGCGCGCGGAATCTCGCTGGCATGCCCATATAAATGCTAATGTTATACATCGACGTGGTATACGACCCGCCCCGAAGAAGTACTACAAATTTTGAGTCGGATGTAATCCATCTCACGGTATTGCGCACGGCGGTATGATCTGTGAAGATTGATCGGCCCCGACCTTTCCGGGGTGGTTCGCTCCATCTGGCTTTAATTAACAGGAAGAATTGAAGGATGCGATCGCGGAAACTGATTCGGTTGCAGCAGGAAACGCAAGCGACCGAAAAGTGAAACAAAACCACTGTGCGATTTCAAACACGTTTCTTTGAAAAGAGAAAAAAAAAGAACGGATCGTAATGTAGATAACACAATTAAAGGCATAAAAGTGAATGCGTTCTATTTTATTATGCAACAGAAGTGGTCTTTTTTTTCTGAAAATCATGAAAAATGGGTCGAGCGAATCTCGAGGTCGTATCCTTTAACCGTATCGACAGCGCTGCCGACATCTCCGCGAAACGCAATCTCAAAGTGAAATAGAAAAACTTTTTCGAATTATACGGAACAATTGGTGCGCGCCGAGCAATTAAATGCGTCCCGATTCAGACTTATTGAATAAATTAAAGCAGACTCATTTCAGCGTCGGTTAATATATTGGCGATAAATGCCGTGCCAGAACTTTTTTCTTGCTGAGTTTTTTTTCTTTCTTTTTTTTTGTCGTGGCTGGTTAGATTTTTTTCCGGGGATTTTGGCGTGAAAGCTATCGTTAAGCGCGATCCATGATGTGTACGCGTTGCCGCACGATCGGTCGATTCGATGCCAACCGCGTGTTGGATTTCGCGCCAAATGTGCTGGCTTAGGCAGCATGCATGTATCCATTACCAGCCCCCATGATTTCCATCGGCGATTCGGGCTTGAAAAATGACCAGCAATAAAATTTCCCGAGCGTGAAGCGGCGGCGCGCAAAAAAGAACGGAGAAAACAGCGTGCGTCAAGTAATCGCGTGACGGTTTAGTTAAAAATCCCTTCCGAAAATATTTTCCCTCGAAAGTTTTCTCTCCTGCCAATACTTTGCTCGGCATATTTGGTATGTTAGGTACACAAGACGTATCGATCCTTCTATTTTTGATTCAGTTGAAGAGACTCGTCGAGGTCGAGCGTCGAAATCCTCGCGCGCCTCGGGCAGTTTTTATTTTCTCAGATAGTGTACGTTTGCTATCGCGAAGAAGCTAGTCTCGGCGGCTGAAATAATTTACGCTTAAAACTAGGCAGATATATTAAAGCGAGCGTTTCCGCAATATAATGCAACTCGGCGTTGCGCATTGCTACTTACTTGGAATATCCCAAACGCTGTGCCGAGGTGTTCATTTGTCCGCACGACCGTCGTCACGATCATTACTCTCTCCAGCTCCACTCTGTCTGCCTGTCTTTCTCTCTCTCTCTCTCCCTCTCTTGCTCTCTCTCTTGTTCTCTCTCCCTTCCACTTCTCTCACGAGCAATTTCTCTCTCCCGGTCTCCCTTTCTCGCTTTTGTCACCCCCTTCTTCGTGACACCCTCTCTCTTTTCCGCAGTCTCCAGTCCTCTTTTCGCCACAAACACCGTGTACTACCCGCTTTTAGCTATCAAGAGGCAAAGAACCGCGCTTGTACCGTAATGCTTGGTCTGCGTTATGCATCATAGTCACGCGTGTGGAAATGCACGCGTGTGTGACGCGCGCGCGCGCGCACACACGTACGCTCGGCTTGCCGCAAATCTCCCGCGGATCTCTACGGAGAAATGGTGCGGCTCCTCTCGTTGCAGCGAGAGTAAATGTGCCGCAGCTTCGACCCACTTTGAAAAGCGCAGTTTCACCGGATTCGACCTTGCCGCTTTTCCCGTTCGATCAATCGATAATTCCGAGCTCGTAGATCCTCGTAGTATATTATTAACACATTCTGCTACGATTTCGTCGATGCCACACGTGTCAGTCGCAATGTCGCGTTTTCTCTAGTACCGCCGTCGCTCCCGAACGTCATATTCGATCTTGGACCAGTCGCTAGTCAGCTAATGATGATGCGATGCGCGTAGACTTGGAGGCCGATCATGACACCCCCCCCTTTTCCCGGCACTTCCTGACTGCGCTGTTGCGTGCCGCGCTCGTGCCGCGCTCGTGCTACTGATCAGGCCACCTCGAGCGGAGAGACGACCTCGTACGAGATCGGGGGTGCTGCGAGTCGGGAGGCGAGAGGACCATGTGCCGCGCGCGCTGGCTGACGCAGATGCTGTGTGTGCGTTCCAAAACACGCAGAAGGGCGCGCGGTCGGATCGAGCGAGCGAGCGAGCGCGTTCTCGTGTGTGTGTTCTCGAAGGCACGCAAGCAACCGCGTCGACGCGCGTCCCGTCGCGCCGCGCGGTCGAGGCTGTAAGGTCGCCCGCGGTCCAGGCTGCCACGCAGTACACTGAGCGACGTGTCGAGCGCCCGGGAGAACCCGCGGGAGCCCGTTCGTGGGTGAACGAAGCTCTCCGAAAATCTGCGAAGATCCTCGATTCGATACACTCGGGGTCGCGCCACCAGCGCAACCGAAGGACACGGATGGACCATCGGGACTACCTGTCGGACCAACGGCATCACTACTTTGGGGAGAGGAGCGCGAAATCTCTCGCCTCTCTCAAATGGACTCGTTCGTCCCTCGCGTCGATAAGAATTCCACAATCGCTTCGCTTTTTTATTTTATTCTTCTTCTTTTTCTTCTCTCTCTCTCTCTCTCTCTCTCTCTCTTTTCTTTTTTTATTTTCTCCTTCATCCTCTCGCCGAAAATAATCGGAATCAATTCGGAAAAGACGAAAAATTGGCAGCAGTTTCGATGTCGTTTGGGTTGTACGGACGACAGCGTATCAAATTGACGATCCCCCTAAATTCGAAATCGCGCGGATTACGACGTCCGTTGTCGTCGTAATACCACGGTCACGGGGCGTTAAACTTGCATTGAAACAGCGGTGCATCGATTTTGGATTATGGATGTTGCACGGTGAAACACTTTACAATAGGCGACACGCCGCGGGAAAAAAAGGCTCGCGTGCGAAGAAGAGCATCGTCCGTAAATAAAACGTTTCACAAGCCACGCTTATCAGCCGTGCGCGCGCGAACAATTCGCAGGACACTCGCGCGCCGAACGGACGTTATTGTATTTATTCTGCGGATAAGAGGGATGATCCTTATATGTATGGGGCATTACCCGTCCCGTTGCGTCCCGGATTATCCTATATCTTCTCGATATCCCATGTTTGGTAGTACGTCTGGCGTCAATGCCGGACTATCGATATCTCACATAAATATGGTATGACATGTCCTTTGTACAGTTCGGTCCTTTCTGTACGTCACTCGCATAAATATTGTTAAAAGATCCCGCGCGTACTCTTTCTTTTATACTCTTTGCATAAAAATCGTTGAAATATTCCGTCTACTTATTCCCTTTCTTTTGTTGTTTATTTAATGTTACGTACGTCTTTAAGGAATCCGCTTATGGGATTAGATTCAGCGGATAGGATTATATTCGCAACCTGCGATCCCTTTACTTCTACAGCTTCAATTCCGCATCGCTGTCTCGTGGACCAAATCTTTTCGGTTATCGATCGGTGTGGTGGCTTCCAGCAATTTCGGTGGCAATGGGGAGAACGTCGTTGTCACGGAATACAATCCGAAAATATGGATTCGGGATGCTGACTCGCGAAGCAGCTCCACGGGGTCGGGGTGGGAAACATTATTCAGAACGAGGCGAATCGATCAGAAAATTGGATGAAATTGTTGCACGATAAATGCTAAGAATTATTTTACGCTTACTCGACTGGAAATTCAGTAGAAATGTACCGATTCAATGTACCAAAGACTTTTTCGTCTGGCTGATATCTACGTTAATCCTGAAATACATTATCGATTTTGCAATATTTTCTTTTGGCATTCAGGGGGCCATAAATTCTTCATACTTAATGCCGCGCACCTAAGGATTAAATTGTACAAGTCGTTACGTTGAATAATGTAATCGTATACCGTGATGAATTTAACGGGACAAGATATTACGGCGGAATCGATAAGAGGCCAGCACCAATAAAATTCAAGATAATAAAATTCTTTCCGCCTACGTCCTGACAGTTTGCACTTAATAAAGAGGAATTCTTCGCTGTAGCCGGTGTAAATCTTCTTCGGAATTCGTTGAGCGCGAAGGTACCCGAGATTTGTAAGAGAGGTCGGCGGGGTTAGATGCTTCCCGTTCTGATTGGATTCCCTCAGGATATTCTTTGCGGCATGGTCTTTTCTAGCCCGTCGTTTCCGAGTTCCGCAAGAATGGAACGCAGAGCAGTCGACTCCGGCTACTTTGCTTCCGCGTTGAGCCAGTTTCGACAGTCTGTCTTTTATTCCGCGTAATGAACCTTATTCCACGGATTCCAAGCGATTGTTAAAAATGCTTTTATCACCTTTATTTTCTATGCACACCACACGAACGGTGCTTATTATCGAGCGTTTTCCGAGCATAATTGCTGAGACGAGGTAGAATTTTTCATGTCGAAAAACTGTTAGGAAGAATTTTCCGCCTCTTAAAGGTGCTTTTAGAGATCAAAAAGTTTATAAAGAGAATGTAAAAAATCAAAATATTATGAAATTTTCAAATTTGCAAGTATAATCGGGGAATTGGGAGAACATTTTTTGGAAAGACATAATAATACATTTATAGCGTTGGTGGCGTAGGAGAGACGCAGTATTGATCGAGGGATCCAAATTTCTTAAGAGACGCGTAACGCCATCGTCGCGCATCTCTGACCGCGTTTACCGCGGAAGAGTCGATCTCGTGGAAAGGGAGAGTGAAAGAAGGAGAGGAGAAGCAGCGATGTTTATCGTACGAGGTGGGCGATGTGGATACTTTGCGAATCGAACAGTTTTGAATCGCCGATGCGAGCCGAATTAGCCCGAGCGCCCTCGAGCATGCCTTGCGATCGATTCGAAATAAACCAGAGGTTTCGCACTGTCGACCTTCCGCTCTCTCTTCCTTTCTCTCTCTCTCTCTCTCTCCTTCTCTCTCATTTGGAAGATCCGCAGCTTCCTCCCGTGAGATTGGTGCATCGTCCCATATTTAATCAAGAGCTTCGCACCAGCCTAATACAAAGTCCTGACTCGCGTCTAATTCAAAGCTGACATTACGTGTGAACTGCTGTGGGATTTACGAAATTAGCCACGTGAGGATTAGGATAGAGATACAATCTGAGCAAGAGATTATGCATAAGGAAAGTTTTCGGTTGGTAGAGTGTCCACTAGTTTCTCCCTTGCGATTAGAAAGCTTCACTCTTAGAAAGATTTATTACGTCTAGATTTAAAAATTTTTATGTTTAAACTTTTGCGAAAATCTCTGTAACTTTGTGAATATCTCTGACTGAGGAAAAAAAGAGCTCATTTTAAGAGCTTATTTTTTCATTAACATGCTCACTTCCTCTTTACGTGTTTCACGTCCGACAGACTTTTGACGACTTCCTGATTGTTGAAGGAGAGTTCGTGTGGAGATCCTCGACCTACCTCTCAGAGAAACTTGTGGAGAGATCGGCGCAGGACTACTGTTGCTTTTCTTCTTTTTACGCCTTTGTACAACTCTCGTCGTGAGAGTAGATGTACTCTTTGACCTCTCGGAGGTTGCGAGTCGTCTCGTTTGTTCAAGGGCTTGTTCTTATCCTCACCTCACCGCATCGGGGCAAACTTTCCCGCGGGACGTCGAAACCGCTGTATAAATCGCGTCGACTGTAATTACGATGTTGAAAGTATGAGTCGGATTCTTTCGACAAAGTTGCTCGCAATAGACACGTTGCTCTCTCCCCGAGGACTATAAGCGCAGACGTTTGCTCTCGTCTTACAATTTACCAGATATACCTTATCGAAACAACAGCGCGCTGAGTTACTTTATAACTTTTCCTCTGTACTATTTCTCTGCGGCAAGCATTTTTATTCTAAACAAGTTAAGGTGATCATTTTCACCTGACATTTTCAAGGCGTGTGATAAAATAACTTGAGACTGATTGTTGCAATAAAAATAAAACTTATCATAACACTGAACAAAATGTGAATAAAAATACAGTTATTTTTTATTTATATTTATTTTTAATTAATTTATTTTAATAGCAAATGTAATTGTCGCGGATGTGATAAACGATATTATCATGACTATAGTGAATTTAGAAGCTGGTTATCCTTCGTTGATATTACCATAACGACTGATTTTTTTTCTCGTCAGAAATTAAAATAATTCAGTTATATATTTAGATAAAATGTTTAATTATATAATTTTATTTGCAAAGATCTATTATAATTGGAGCAAAATTACATTTTGCACCAGTCGTGGCGTGGCAAGCTATTTCTGTAGGACGTCGCTAACGTCGAAGCCTGCATGAGGATGGTAAAAGAGACAGATGATCAGACCATACCAGATGTTGGTAGTCTCAACGCTTAAATGGAATCATTATAAACGCCGTTGACTAAAGATCTATTCCAACAGTGGTTACAGAACCGTAATTGACAATTTACTAGATGGCGTTCTTAATCATTTTACACATTACTAATTATTTCTACTTGTGTACAAAGATATAAAAGTATGACCATCAGCAGGCTCGTCGGGCAGTATTCCACATCGAGATTAGGGACACGAAGCGGCACTTCAAAGAGTTATGTACACGCGTGCGTAACCTATCGATGAGGCACTGCCTTTTCGTCGAAAGTTCAAAGGCCCTATATGTTGAAAAACGATTAGTATTCGATGAGTCGAGCAAAAGTAGTCACAACCGTTTGGGTGTTAGAATTTCTTAACATTTGTTCAAATGGTTACACGACGTATATCCGGTTCTACATACTTGTTTGAAGCTGCTGGCATTCTTGATCGCAGAAACGATTAATCATTACGCGATGATTATATATAATGATATATGTCATATTCGTAAAAATATTCAATGTTGAGACTTGTTGAATACTAAAGGCGATTGCACTTAACATGAATGTATATACTCGTTAGGCAATTAACAATTAAAGATCAACATTATATTTTTATTATACAATAATTTAAACAATTGCATAGATTTGCGTGGCACAAATTAAATATTTTCGCATATATATTTAACAAAAATAATTCAATTTTATGATAAAATTAAAAACATGATTATCATTTTTTATTAATGGCTAGAAAATGCAAATTGTTTTGGAATTACAATACACTTATATTTAAGAATGATTCATCGACTACAAGTGAATATCAAACGTAGAATATCTTTTCTCTCAAAAATAATTAAAAGAATCTCCAAAAGAGTAAAAAAATATGCACATTCGTTAATATTTTGACTTACTATTAATTGTATTGATTAAGTCGGGCAAGTTGAACCAATAGCGACGCGCCTCAGCCTTCGCGGTAGACAGT